AACCTACTGGAGTTTTATGACAAGGTGACAGAAGTAAGACAAGAGAGAGGGGTGGATCGACTACATTTTTTTGGACTGCAAGAAGGCCTTCGACACAGCTCCTCACAAGAGGTTACTGCAAAAGCTAGAGGATCAGGCACACATAACAGGAAAGGCACTGCAATAGATCAGAGAATACCTGACAGGGAGGCAACAACGAGTCATGGTACGTGACGAGGTGTCAGAGTGGGTGCCTGTGACAAGCGGGGTTCCACAGGGGTCAGTCCTAGGACCTGTGCTGTTTTTGGTATATGTGAATGACATAACGGAAGGGATAGACTCAGAAGTGTCCTTGTTTGCGGACGATGTGAAGTTAATGAGAAGAATCAAATTGGATGAGGATCAGGCAGGACTACAAAGAGACCTGGACAGGCTACAAGCCTGGTCCAGCAACTGGCTCCTTGAGTTTAACCCTGCCAAATGCAAAGTCATGAAGATTGAGGAAGGGCAAAGAAGACCGCAGACACAATATAGTTTAGATGGCCAAAGTCTGCAAACCTCACTCAAGGAAAAAGATCTGGGGGTGAGTATAACACCGAGCATATCTCCCAAGGCGCCCATCAATCAGATAACTGCTGCAGCATACGGGCGCCTGGCAAACCTATGGATAGCATTCCGATACCTCAGTAAGGATTCGTTCAAGACTCTGTATACCATTTACGTCAGGCCCATACTGGAGTATGCAGCACCAGTTTGGAATCCACTCGTCCATCTTATTCCTAGCCAAGCACGTCAAGAAATTAGAGAAAGTGCAAAGGTTTGCAACAAGACTAGTCCCAGAGCTACGGGGATTGTCCTACGAAGAAAGGTTGAGGGAAATCGGCCTGACGACACTGGAGGCCAGGAGGGTCAGGGGAGACATGATAACGACATATAAAATACTGTGCGGAATAGACGAGGTGGGCAAAGACGGGATGTTCCAGAGATGGGACACAGACACAAGAGGTCACAATTGGAAGTTGAAGACTCAGATGAATCAAAGGGATGTTAGGAAGTATTTCTTCAGTCATAGAGTAGTCAAGCCGTGGAATAGCCTAGAAAGTGAAGTAGTGGAGGTGGGAACCATACATAGTTTTAAGGCGAGGTATGATAATGCTCATGGAGCAGGGAGAGAGAGGACCTGGTAGCAATCAGTGAAGAGGCGGGGCCAGGAGCTATGACTCGACCCCTGCAACCACAAATAGGTGAGTACACACACACACACACACTCTCTCTCTCTCTCTCTCTCTCTCTCTCTCTCTCTCTCTCTCTCTCTCTTTCTCTTTCTCTCTCTCTTCTCTCTCTTCTCTCTCTTCTCTTTCTCTCTTCTCTTCTCTCTCTCTCTCTCTCTCTCTCTCTTCTCTCTCTCTCTTTCTCTCTCTCTTCTCTCTCTTCTCCTCTCTTCTCTCTCTTCTTCTCTCTCTTCTTCTCTCTCTCTTTCTCTCTCTCTTTCTCTCTCTTTCTCTTTCTCTCTCTTCTTCTCTTTCTCTCTCTTTCTCTTCTTTCTCTCTCTTCTCTCTCTCTTCTCTCTCTCTCTCCTCTCTCTCTCCTCTCTCTCTCTCTCTCTCTCTCTCTCTCCTCTCTCTCTCTCTCTCTCTCTCTCCTCTCTCTCTCTCTCTCTCTCTCTCATATATATTTTCCAGGTTTAGCACTTTCAGTGAATATACAGTATTAATAATAATAATAATAATTCATTGAATTATTATTATTATTATGTATGGGCAGTTTTGATTTTCCAGGTATAAGTATTTGACAGTGATGTCCTGTCTAAGGGCAATGTGTGGTGTAAATATTATGCAGAGAATTCAGAGTGTGGAAATTAGGAGAAGGTGTGGAGTTACTAAAAGTATTAGTCAGAGGGCTGAAGAGGGGTTGTTGAGGTGGTTTGGACATTTAGAGAGAATGGATCAAAGTAGAATGACTTGGAGAGCGTATAAATCTGTAGGGGAAGGAAGGGGTAGGGGACATCCTCGAAAAGGTTGGAAGGAGGGGGTAAAGGAGGTTTTTTGGGCGAGGGGCTTGGACTTCCAGCAAGTGCTTGTGAGCATGTTAGATAGGAGTGAATGGAGACCAATGGTTTTTGGGAACTGATGAGCTGTTTGAGTGTGAGCAGGGTAATATTTACTGAAGGGATTTAGGGAAACTGGTTAGCCAGACTTGAGTCCTGGAAATGGGAAGTACAATGCCTGCATTTTAAAGGAGGGGTTTGGGATATTGATAGTTTGGAGGGACTTCCAAACTGTTGTACCTGAGCGCCTCTGCAAAGGCAGTGAATATGTGTGAGTGAGGTGAAAGTGTTGAATGATGATGAAAGTATTTTCTCTTTGGGGATTTTCTTTCTTTTTGGGTCACCCTGCCTTGGTGGGAGATGGCTGACTTGTTGAAAAAAAAAAATATTTGGGGAGTCACCCTTATACTTTTATATAAAGAAATATAAAAACTATAACATTAAAACAATCAAATAAGGTATGAGAGATGAGGATAAAAAACAGTCTTTATTTCCATTTTTTTTTTTTTTAACAAGTCGGCCATCTCCCACCGAGGCAGGGTAACTCAAAGAGAAAGAAAATACCCCCCCCCCCCAAAAAAAATGTACTTTCATCATCATTCAACACTTTCACCTCACTCACACATAATCACTATTTTTGCAGAGGTGCTCAGAAATACAACAGTTTAGAAGCATATATGTATAAAGATACACAGCATATTCAATTCAGTTCAATTCAATTCAAGTTTATTCTCTGTAAGGGTTACAATGTGAGGTTTACAGGTTTTGGGTATTGTGTGGTTTACATGTTATAAAATACTAATTACAGAGGGGGCCACTAGGACACCTAGCATGGCTAGGCATTTCGAGCAGACTTAGATTAAAAATTAACATTAAATCCTTACAGATTATGGTATTAAGGCTAAGTGACTACATCATAATTTGTGAGTTTAGCAATGTGAATGCTTTTGTTTTGGCACAATACAAGGTGTCTATATTGGAGTAGCATAAGCAAACTTATGACTAGTTAGGATTTATTATTTTAAGATTAGTATTTCTGGGTTTATAGTCAGTGGGTGAGTGAGTGTAATTGTGAACCACCAGGTGGTTATCATGTAGTTAGTTGTCGGGGTGGATCAGGGAGATAAGATGTTTTCTAACTGTAGTTTTGAAAGTGATGAATGTGTCTGCAGTTCTAGAGTTTTCAGGTAGGGTGTTCCAGATTTTAGGTCCTTTGAAATACATTGAATTTTTGTAAAGGTTTAGTCGAACACGGGGAATGTCATAGAGATGTTTGTGTCTGGTGTTATGCCTGTGGATCCTGTCACAACTATCAAGAAAGCATTTTAGGTCAAGGTTAATATTGGAATTTAAGGTCCTGTAGATAGAGATTGCACAGTAGTAAGTGTGGATGTTCTGAACAGGGATTAAGTTTAGATCTATGAAGAGTGGGGGGGGGGGGGGTGTTGCCAGGGATGGGATTTAGTGATTATTCTTACTGCGGCTTTTTGTTGGCTTAAGGTGTGTTGCTGCAGTTGAACCCCAAGCACAGATAGCATAGGTGAGGTATGGATATATAAGTGAATGATATAGTGTGAGAAGGGCAGTTTGAGGTACATAGTATCGTATCTTGGAGAGGATCCCCACCGTTTTGGATACTTTTTTTGTTATGTGTTGGATATGGGTGCTGAAATTTAGGTTGTTGTCGAGGTATATCCCTCCAAACTGCCAATATCCCAAACCCCTCCTTTAAAGTGCAGGCATTGTACTTCCCATTTCCAGGACTCAAGTCTGGCTATATAAAAATAAATAAGTAAATAAATAATAAATAAATAAATAAAATAATAAATAGAAAAAATTACAAGCACTTTTAAGAATAATAATGAAATTACAATAATATCTTAAGGCCCAAAGAAACCACCGTGTAACAGAATTAGGTGAAGAAAATGGTAAAATACTTCAGGGATCTTGCAATTCCTATAATGGTTGGAAAAGAGCTGGCATCCTGAATTTGTGGAGCTGGTACTAAGTACTGATGCACCCCAGAGTAAGTCAAGGTGTTGGGTTCCATAAGTGTAGTTGGTACCAGTGGTCTCAGATACCACAGAAGGAAGAGTGGAAAGGGGCGTGGTAATCACAGAGCCAACACTGACAACTGTCGAACAAGTGGGAGAATCTTCAAAATTGGTACCCTATACTGCTATAAAACAGCCCTCTTAAATCTTTACTGTTTGGGTGACCCATGCCAAACTTGTGGGCTTAGAAGAACAGGTAAGTTACTAGAAATACACTAAGATACAAATAATGGTAAATAGCCCTGAAGAAATGGGTGACACAACAAATTATGTTGACCTAATTATGGTGAAATCAGTACATACTGTAACCACGAATACAGTAGTCAATACAACATTGAAAACGCCACTGTTGACAGAAGTCAGAAAGTAATAAAGTAACCTATGAAAATTTTCAGGAGTGCAATAGGAAGGAAAAGAAAGAAATACCTCCACATCAGGCAAATTACCCCTTGAATTAGGAATCTGGCTCATATGTCCTTAGCTCAAGTACTGAAGATAAAAAAACAGTACAGTACTAATTTTTCCTTAATACTGTATAAGTAAAGCTATGTATTCAGCTGAAAGCCTTAAATTCATATTTTTTAATATTAATGTGCTTGAAGGTACATACTGTATTTGCTATATGAGTACTTATAAATTTTTTCTGTGAGGTACAAATACTGTATTATGGTCTTTCTACCAGTGTTGTTTTAGATGTGATATAGGTAAATGTGAAAACCACTGATATTAGTAAATATAGTATTACTGTATTTATGAGTTAAATACTATAATGTTTCTAGTACAGTACAGGTAATTGGAAATGGAAATTTTAGCTAGTTTAATATTGAGTGCCAATTTTCTTTTTATGAGGATTGAGAATTAATGTAAAAAAAACATTAACCATTTTCCCCAGTTTTAATCATGCAATGTGTTTCTTACAGGGAATATTGGGAACACTAGGGTCTATAACTTCAGCATTCAGTAGTGCAGGAAAGGGGACTACTTCAGGCATCAAGGCAACTCTTCCAATTGAGCAGGTGGTGCATACATTGTCAGCAAGCTGTGCTCCAGCAAATGTAATTTTTTCTTTTTTCTACATTTTCCTACAAAGTTTTGAGATTAATTGATTAAATTGTTATGATGTTTCTTATAAGTGGGTTAAGGACCTGTGTGGCACTTATGTGTGGAACAGGTGATTAGAACTTTGTTGAAAACTCTAAAAATGTAAATATGAGGGGGAAATAGGGGGTGGCATGTTAAGTGTATGTAGGGGTAGAAGAGAAAGGTTTTCCACTAACAGTTGGAATTTTAGAAGGAAATGAATAGTAAAGTTGTTGGGAGAGTTGTGGTACTAATAAATAATGAACTTGGGATTAAATGAGAAATACAAAATTATCATTTTTTTTACTGATGACTGTTATTAGAATAAGGAGACATTGCAGTGGTTGGTGGAGGGTTTTGAGAGGATGTTTAAAAGAAAGATGATGAAATTTACTGTACAGGGGAAAAAAAAAAAGGTAATTTGATGGAATAAATAGAAGCAAGGAAAATGAAAAAGTATAGTTCCAATTTGAAATACAGTGGAACCTTGGTTTTTGTCTTTAATTCATTCCAGAAAGTCTGACGAAAACTGAATTCGGCGAAAACTGAAGCAATGTTTCCAATAAGAAATAATGTAAATCCAATTAATCCGTTCCAGACACCCAAAAGTATTAACAAAAAATACTTTTTATAGAGAATAACTGCAATTTTACATACAGAAAACAATGAGAAATAAATATAAAAGACTAATGAAATGGATAAATGAACATTTAACATAACTTTTACCTTTATTGAAGACTCTTGTCGGTGTATGGAAGACGGCGAGGAAGGAGAGGGAGAGGGAGGAGAGGTTATTGTTTGGAAGGGGAATCCCCTTCCATAAGGACTTCAGGTATCAAGCCCTCTCTGGGGTTACTTCTCTTCTTTGTCTTGTACTGGCACTAGGACTAGCTTGAGAGTCACTGGACCCCTGTCGCACAAAAAAATCTGGCTAGAGAGGTCTGTTTCTGGCGTCTCTTTAAGATTTGCCTAAAATGGGATAAGGCATTGTCATTGAACATGTTGCAGACATGTCTTGCAACAGCTTTGTTAGGGTGATATTTCTCCACAAAACTTTGCAACTCACTCCACTTTGCACACGTGTCCTTAATCACTGAAGAAGGCACATTCTTCCCTCTCTCTTCCTCCTCCTCTGAAGCAATTTCCTCATCTGTGATCTGTTGCTGTTCCAGTTGAAGGTGTTGCAGCTCTTCAGTGGTTAGCTCTTCCATGTGGCCCTCTACCAACTCTTCCACATCCTGGCCACTCACATCCAACTCCATGGACTTCCCCAAAGCCACAGTAGATTCCACAACAGGCATAGGGTTGTCAGGGTCAGCCTCAAACCCTTCAAAATCCTTCTCTTGGACACGTTTTGGCCACAATTTCTTGCCTTCTTTATCAAAGGGCTGGCACTCGGAACTTTCTTTGGCCCCATGGTGACTTATTTAGCAGTTGCACTCAATAAATAAGCACAAAAAATAATGGATTACTATGAAATGTATCGTATGAAAGCTCAGGGTAATGTTCACTCGAGGAGAAACAAAGCCAGAATGACTCAGAACGCGTGCGTGGGATGCATTGTGTGGGTACGGGCAGGTGGACACATTCGGTATGGCGGATGAAAACCGAGGTGACGAACGAAAACTGAGACAAAATTTTAATGAAAAAAGATGAAGATTGAGACACTTATGCAGCATATGGGAATCTTTATTCAGGAAACGTTTCGCCACACAGTGGCTTCATCAGTCCAATACAAAGAGGAAGGCGTAAGGAGAGGAGGAGTATGAGGTAATCAGTCCCTCGGCCTTGAGTCGATGTGTTCAGTCCATCAATCTTGTAGAATGTACCTTTGGACGAAGACCTAATTCGACTAGTGGATGGTACCACTATGACCCCGCCTCAGCCTGCTTCACCTCACCTCACTACAGTATATAAGCCACGTCTACGGCCCTATGCTGTACATTCTACAAGATTGATGGACTGAACACATCGACTCAAGGCCGAGGGACTGATTACCTCATACTCCTCCTCTCCTTACGCCTTCCTCTTTGTATTGGACTGATGAAGCCACTGTGTGGCGAAACGTTTCCTGAATAAAGATTCCCATATGCTGCATAAGTGTCTCAATCTTCAACTTGTCGGTTTTTCAAATCATTCATCACACATGAAAAAAGTTGTCGAAAACCAGGGCAAACGAAAACCGAGGTTCCACTGTAGGTGATTTTGTGAAGGACAAGAAAATGTACAGAACTGGAGAGGAGGTAAGTTGTGGGAGTGCTGAGGAGTTTTTGTAGAAGGAAATGTCAGTGGAGGCAAATATGGGAATGCAGTATATTAGAGTAAAATGATGCTGACTTTTTTTGTATGGGTGTAAAGCATGGTCTTTGAGTGTTTCAGCAAAGAGAATGTTGGGGCAGTAGAAATGACCATGGACATCATGTGATGTGATTAGTAGGTAAAGAACAAGTATATAATGAGAGATACTGTATTAGATGTGGTGGAATGAAAGAATTAATTTAAATACATAAGCAGAGTTATTGAAATGATTTTGGTTTCATAGGTTTACAAATACAGTAGGTTCACAGTGTCCTGAAATGTCTGTGCCTTTCTGGAAAGGCAGGTAGAGATAATGTTAGTGAATGCTTACTTTATTGGGGTTATCCTACATGGGAATAAGTTACAAATAAAAATAAATCTTATGTAATAACCACTACTAGTGTTCCCTCTAAGCTGCACACCTGTGCAGCAGGCAGTCAAATTCCACACACTAATTAGTGAGGCCATACAGTCTTTGTGATGTCAGCTTTACTTTAGCTAGTGGCCTGTTGGTTTGATATTTCATGATATATATTCATTCTTCTCCATGGGGAAGTGGAACAGAATTCTTCCTCTGTAAGCCATGCATGTCATAAGAGGCGACTAAACTGCTGGGAGCAGTAGGCTAGTAACCCCTTCTCCTGTATACATTACTAAAGTTAAAAAGAGAAACTCTTGTTTTTCTTTTTGGGCCACCCTGCTTTGGTGGGATACGGCCAATTTGTTGAAAAAAGAAGTATATTCATTCTACTTTTGCATACCCTTAGCATCAGTAAAAACTACATTTATGATATCTAGATTGTTAGCTGCTAACAGTAACACGCATCCATGTATTTCTTCCATACTTGTGCACATGATAGCATTCATTCTGGTTGGTAAAACTATATCAGTGCCGCAAAAAATATATAAAACACCTATTTCCTTTATTAGTATTCCTTTACATTGCATATCATGAACATGATTTTTGTTAATAATTATCTTCAAAATGAAATGTTGACTTTCTTATTTCGTTGTTGCTATTCTGTTAGTAAAGGAAATTTTTTAGTAGTGAACTAGTTCATGTAAGTACTGGATGTTCATCTGTTTCTTTCATTTTGTTGAAGGTTTTAGCAGTGTACATAGCTCTGATAGACTCCATGGAGACTCGTCTCAAATTAGCCATCAACTATAAGTGTCACCAGGCAGTCATTGAAGTAAGTATAATGTACAGTACATTTTAAGCATCGAGAAGGTTTTATACACTGACAGGTCTGCTGTATGCCTTTCTTTATGTATATGCTGAAAGTTTATTTTAACCCATATATTAATGAGTCAAGTATCCTTGACAGGTGGTGAATACATTACATTGCAAGTTGAATGGCCCTTTGTGCAGTCAGTAGGCTTTAAACTCAGTTAACTAACCAGCTGAATGAAGTATTGCAAGCTTAACATCTTATAGTAAAAAAGGCTTTAAAACAATATAGCATTTATGTACAGTATGTTAAAAGCAATATTAAGGGCATGTACGTAAATACAAAAGTTTTGTACATCAATAGTGTCCAGCTTTTGTTCCTTAATGAAAGTGTGCTTTACATTTATTTCTAATGTTTATGTATTTTTTATTATACTTTGCTTAGGTTCACATTGCTCAGAAGGACAGGGATGCTCTAGAAAAGTATATGAAGGAAATACCCACTGGTTCTCCAGAGTTTCTGAAAGCTGATGCTGCTTTAAAGGTATATCACCATTATTATTTTTTTTTTTTTTTTTTTTTTTTTTTTTTTTTTTTTTTTTTTTTTTTTTTTTTTTTTTTTTTTTTTTTTTTTTTTTTTTTTTTTTTCAACAAGTCGGCCGTCTCCCACCGAGGCAGGGTGACCCAAAAAAAAGAAAGAAAATCCCCAAAAAGAAAATACTTTCATCATCATTCAACACTTTCACCACACTCGCACATTATCACTGTTTTTGCAGAGGTGCTCAGCATACAACAGTCTAGAAGCATACGCATATAAAGATACACAACATATCCCTCCAAACTGCCAATATCCCAAACCCCTCCTTTAAAGTGCAGGCATTGTACTTCCCATTTCCAGGACTCAAGTCCGACTATATGAAAATAACCGGTTTCCCTGAATCCCTTCACTAAATATTACCCTGCTCACACTCCAACAGATCGTCAGGTCCCAAGTACCATTCGTCTCCATTCACTCCTATCTAACACGCTCACGCACGCTTGCTGGAAGTCCAAGCCCCTTGCCCACAAAACCTCCTTTACCCCCTCTCTCCAACCCTTTCGAGGACGACCCCTACCCCGCCTTCCTTCCCCTATAGATTTATATGCTTTCCATGTCATTCTACTTTGATCCATTCTCTCTAAATGACCAAACCACCTCAACAACCCCTCTTCTGCCCTCTGACTAATACTTTTATTAACTCCACACCTTCTCCTAATTTCCACACTCCGAATTTTCTGCATAATATTTACACCACACATTGCCCTTAAACAGGACATCTCCACTGCCTCCAACCATCTCCTCGCTGCTGCATTTACCACCCAAGCTTCACACCCATATAAGAGTGTTGGTACTACTATACTTTCATACATTCCCTTCTTTGCCTCCATAGATAACGTTTTTTGACTCCACATATACCTCAATGCACCACTCACCTTTTTTCCCTCATCAATTCTATGATTAACCTCATCCTTCATAAATCCATCCGCCGACACGTCAACTCCCAAGTATCTGAAAACATTCACTTCTTCCATACTCCTCCTCCCCAATTTGATATCCAATTTTTCTTTATCTAAATCATTTGACACCCTCATCACCTTACTCTTTTCTATGTTCACTTTCAACTTTCTACCTTTACACACATTCCCAAACTCATCCACTAACCTTTGCAATTTTTCTTTAGAATCTCCCATAAGCACAGTATCATCAGCAAAAAGTAACTGTGTCAATTCCCATTTTGAATTTGATTCCCCAAAATTTAAATTATATACAGGTACAAAATCAATTTTCCAGACCTTTGGTTCCAAAGCCTTTCTGGATTACTGATGTTTCTGTCTTTCCTTGGTCTTGGGGTTGGATAAGTGATGTACAGTTTGGTGGTAAATACTGCTGCGGGAATCTCAAGTTCCTGCTCATAAATTTGCATGTTTCTGGACTATTGGTGTCCGTAAAATCGATGTTGTGCCTGTAGTCACTGAAAAATACATCAACATGAAACATTATGCATGGAGGAGGATATACTCATTGACAAATAGTTAAATACATTACAGAATGTAGAAATGAGGAAATTATAAGATATGGGATTAAATAAGATAGAGTAGAGCAAAAAAAGTCTTACAATAATTTTGTTTACTGTAGCCAGTTTGAGGAAAGTAAATGTAGAAATGTATTTGCATATACAGTGGACCCCCGCATAACGATTACCTCCGAATGCGACCAATTATGTAAGTGTACAGTATTTATGTAAGTGCATTTGTACGTGTATGTTTGGGGGTCTGAAATGGACTAATCTATTTCACAATATTTCTTATGGGAACAAATTCGGTCAGTACTGGCACCTGAACATACTTCTGGAGTGAAAAAATATCGTTAACCGGGGGTCCACTGTACAGTGGAACCTCTGTATTCGAACAGCTCCCTACTTGAACAATTCGGTATTTGAACACTTTGTCCGGTAAAAACATCGCTAGGCACTCGACCAAACAAATATGACCTGCCAGAACCTTGCTGTAAATTATTTTGTGTTTCTTCGCATTTTTTTGGTGTTTTTTATATTGTATAAATAAGTCACCATGGGGGCCTCCGAAGATTAGTGATAACAGGCAACCAAAAAGAAAATACTGTAGGTTGGGAAAAATTTGTTTGGTACTCAAACAGATCGGCTCTCGAACAGCCTTCTGGAACAAATTAAGTTCGAGTACCAAGGCTCCATTGTATATAGTACATTATACCTAAAACTGACAATACTGTATTGGATTAATTTAAATGGTGATAATAAGCCAGCAGTGTTATACCAGCTTTATGGTATATATCATGTCACATTGTTAACTCATTTGTTTCCAGTTATTGTTTATTGGATTAAAAGAGAAGTATTAGGCACTGCAACCATTGGAAATTTAAAAACTTACATAATGAATTAATTACAAACCATAGCTCTGCTCCTGTCGTTATAAATAATTACACTTCAAAGGTGATTTGATGCCATGGAAGGGTTCTTGAACCAAGGAATTGGATCTACCCTTCCCTTCCTTTGATTGTACCTGATTACCTGTCAGTCCCCAGGTGCTGTATGACCCCTACAGGTTTAGCATTTTCCCATAATAATAATAATAATAATAATAATAATAATAATAAATAATGTAATAATTATACCGTGATAGAAATAGGTAAACAAAATAAGTAATCATTCTTGCTGTCTATTTGCAGAGTGTCAAGTGGAAAAATTAAAATGATGCTGTACTGTAAAGTAAGTTAATAAAGACAGTTAAAATGTATTTATTTATATGCAGTTTGTGATACCATCTGTCACTGATTACTGTTAAGTGATCTTTGTAGTTGTGGCCTTAGGAACACTACATTGTCATTTCTGAAATTATATCTGTCCAGTTGATTGCATTAAGTATTATTCAGTGATTCTGTATCTGAGCCATCTCCTTGTCCTTTGGTGTTCTTGAACCAGTGTTGTTTACTGTTTGTGTTAGTGGCTTAGCCTTACTGTTGGATGCCCGTGGAGTTCATTATCATTTTTATGCTGATGATACATGAATCTACATCCTGGTTCTAAATGTGGAAGATGCTGGATATTTGGACTTAGATGATAAATAGAAAATTGAAACTAAATGAGGGTGAGACATAGATTTTGATTGCCAGGGGGGAAACATCAGGGAGGTATAGATTGGAAGGTTTAGCACCTTTGATTGTGGTAGTCAGTTTGCAGTCTTTGGAATCAGTGAGGTATATGGGTATTTTCCTGGATTCTCCATTGTCATTTATTGAACACAGATTATTCAATCTTTCAATTTTCATATTCGTAACCTCTGTGCAGTCAGAAATTATCTTCATATGTAGAATATCTTAGTCCTTGTTCATGTGTTTGTTTCAACTTGAATTAATTTTTGCAATTCTTTGTTAATGGGTTTGCCTAACTACTGTACTTGATTAAAAAAACTCAAGTCTGTACTAGTATTTTCACTCCCAACTGGGGCTCCCAATAGTACTTTCAAGAGTTGCATTTGCTCCTTATCAAGGCAAAAATTGAATTTAAACTCTGTTTATTTAACATTTTAAGTTAATAAGTGTAACATTATTTATTTAGTTGTAGCTACAGTTAGAGTAAGAGGTAGATGGGAAAAGAGGAAGGTGGCAACAACAAGTAAGAGGGAGGTGAAAGTGTATAAACTAAGGGAGGAGGAAGTTCGGGTGAGATATAAGCGACTATTGGCAGAAAGGTGGGCTAGTGCAAAGATGAGTAGTGGGGGGGTTGAAGAGGGTTGGAATAGTTTTAAAAATGCAGTATTAGAATGTGGGGCAGAAGTTTGTGGTTATAGGAGGGTGGGGGCAGGAGGAAAGAGGAGTGATTGGTGGAATGATGAAGTAAAGGGTGTGATAAAAGAGAAAAAGGTAGCTTACGAGAGGTTTTTACAAAGCAGAAGTGTTATAAGAAGAGCAGAGTATATGGAGAGTAAAAGAAAGGTAAAGAGAGTGGTGAGAGAGTGCAAAAGGAGAGCAGATGATAGAGTGGGAGAGGCACTGTCAAGAAATTTTAATGAAAATAAGAAAAAAATTTGGAGTGAGTTAAACAAGTTAAGAAAGCCTAGGGAAAATATGGATTTGTCAGTTAAAAACAGAGTAGGGGAGTTAGTAGATGGGGAGATGGAGGTATTGGGTAGATGGCGAGAATATTTTGAGGAACTTTTAAATGTTAACAAAGAAACAGAGGCAGTAATTTCATGCACTGGTCAGGGAGGTATACCATCTTTTAGGAGTGAAGAAGAGCAGAATGTAAGTGTGGGGGAGGTACGTGAGGCATTACGTAAAATGAAAGGGGGTAAAGCAGCTGGAACTGATGGGATTATGACAGAAATGTTAAAAGCAGGGGGGGGATATAGTGTTGGAGTGGTTGGTACTTTTGTTTAATAAATGTATGAAAGAGGGGAAGGTACCTAGGGATTGGCAGAGAGCATGTATAGTCCCTTTATATAAAGGGAAAGGGGACAAAAGAGACTGTAAAAATTATAGAGGAATAAGCTTACTGAGTATACCAGGAAAAGTGTACGGTAGGGTTATAATTGAAAGAATTAGAGGTAAGACAGAATGTAGGATTGCGGATGAGCAAGGAGGTTTTAGAGTGGGTAGGGGATGTGTAGATCAGGTGTTTACATTGAAGCATATATGTGAACAGTATTTAGATAAAGATAGGGAAGTTTTTATTGCATTTATGGATTTAGAAAAGGCATATGATAGAGTGGATAGAGGAGCAATGTGGCAGATGTTGCAAGTATATGGAATAGGTGGTAAGTTATTAAATGCTGTTAAGAGTTTTTATGAGGATAGTGAGGCTCAGGTTAGGGTGTGTAGAAGAGAGGGAGACTACTTCCCGGTAAAAGTAGGTCTTAGACAGGGATGTGTAATGTCACCATGGTTGTTTAATATATTTATGATGGGGTTGTTAAGGAAGTAAATGCTAGGGTGTTTGGGAGAGGGGTGGGATTAAATTATGGGGAATCAAATTCAAAATGGGAATTGACACAGTTACTTTTTGCTGATGATACTGTGCTTATGGGAGATTCTGAAGAAAAATTGCAAAGGTTAGTGGATGAGTTTGGGAACGTGTGTAAAGGTAGAAAGTTGAAAGTGAACATAGAAAAGAGTAAGGTGATGAGGGTGTCAAATGATTTAGATAAAGAAAAATTGGATATCAAATTGGGGAGGAGGAGTATGGAAGAAGTGAATGTTTTCAGATACTTGGGAGTTGACGTGTCGGCGGATGGATTTATGAAGGATGAGGTTAATCATAGAATTGATGAGGGAAAAAAGGTGAGTGGTGCGTTGAGGTATATGTGGAGTCAAAAAACGTTATCTATGGAGGCAAAGAAGGGAATGTATGAAAGTATAGTAGTACCAACACTCTTATATGGGTGTGAAGCTTGGGTGGTAAATGCAGCAGCGAGGAGACGGTTGGAGGCAGTGGAGATGTCCTGTTTAAGGGCAATGTTTGGTGTAAATATTATGCAGAAAATTCGGAGTGTGGAAATTAGGAGAAGGTGTGGAGTTAATAAAAGTATTAGTCAGAGGGCAGAAGAGGGGTTGTTGAGGTGGTTTGGTCATTTAGAGAGAATGGATCAAAGTAGAATGACATGGAAAGCATATAAATCTATAGGGGAAGGAAGGTGGGGTAGGGGTCGTCCTCGAAAGGGTTGGAGAGAGGGGGTAAAGGAGGTTTTGTGGGTAAGGGGCTTGGACTTCCAGCAAGCGTGCGTGAGCGTGTTAGATAGGAGTGAATGGAGACGAATGGTACTTGGGACCTGACGATCTGTTGGAGTGTGAGCAGGGTAATATTTAGTGAAGGGATTCAGGGAAACCGGTTATTTTCATATAGTCGGACTTGAGTCCTGGAAATGGGAAGTACAATGCCTGCACTTTAAAGGAGGGGTTTGGGATATTGGCAGTTTGGAGGGACATGTTGTGTATCTTTATATGTGTATGCTTCTAGACTGTTGTATTCCGAGCACCTCTGCAAAAACAGTGATAATGTGCGAGTGTGGTGAAAGTGTTGAATGATGAAAGTATTTTCTTTTTGGGGATTTTCTTTCTTTTTTGGGTCACCCTGCCTCGGTGGGAGACGGCCGACTTGTTGAAAAAAAAAAAAAAAAAAGTGTAACAAACCCAAATATCTTGCTGATATGCTTGTACCTTTTACATTGGGCTCAGGAACATTTCTGGTAATTGCCATAGACTATTTTAGACTGATTGAACCTCATGCTGTTGGGAACAAATCATTTGCACAAAGAGCCTTTTCTTATTTAGCTCCTAGATTATTCAACAGGTTGCCAGTGTCTGCTAGAGTTAGGAATTTACTCATGCTTTCAGGTCTCAGTTGAAAGCACATTTCTTTTCTCGAGTTTTGATACTGATGATCATACTTTCACTCTTCAATATAAACTTTAGTATTTCATCTTCATCATTGTTGTTGCATTTATGGCTTGGTATACGAGTGCTGATGAATTTCTTGAAAAAACAGGCACTCAGGAATGACAGTATCCCAGATTTATTCTTTTGTATAAATTCTGAAGGAAGGGTATTGATATATTCCAGTTTTTAACCATAGTGTAGGCATGCCTCTGGCAAGACAGTGATGAAGTGAATGATGATGAAAGTGTTTCTTCTTTTTCTGGTCACCCTGCCTTGGTGAGAAACAGCCAATGTGTAAATAAAAAAAAATCTAATTTTCTTATTCTGAGTATACCTTTGATATAGTATACCTTTGATGAGTTTTTCTATTCTCGAAGCCCAGCCTTGGGCCAGGCTCATCTGGTGATTGCTTTGTTAGCCAGGCTGTTGCTGCTCGTGGCCAGCTGGCCCACATATCCATCACAGCCTGGTTGATCTGGCACCTCTTGAAAACTTCTACAGTTGTCTCAGCAATATTTCTGATGTCTTCTGGTAGATGTTGAATAGTCTGCAGCCATGGATATTGATACAATATTCTCTTGCTGTGCCCACAGCATTCCTGCTTTTCACTGGGTTTATTTTGCACTTCCTACCATATCCCTCACTCCAGTTGCTGTTATGCCAGTGTGCAGGTTTGGGACAAGGCCCTCAAATATTTTCCAGTTATATATTATGATGCAAAACAACCACTGTGAAAGAATAGTGGTTGTTTTGCATATTCTGAAATCACCTATTTACTGTGATCTTATTGCATACATTATGATGTGTGTCTTCTCCACTGCAGTGAGTACATATTTAGGACTTTAAGGTATTTCCAGTAATTTCAATGCCTTATTGCTTCTATGCAGGCCACAAATGATCTCTGTATCTGTTCCAGTTCTACTGTCTCTCCTGCCCTGAATGGGGCCATCAACACTGAACAATATTCTAAAGGAGAGCACAAGGAGTTTGAAAAATGGATGTTCTTGTAAAGTGCATATGACAGGAACACATCTTCCAGTACTTGCTATAATTAATTGAATAATCCAGAAGACTAGACTATGGTATAATTTCTTTCATTTACAAAACCTAAGCAAAAAACTAAAGCCATTTTTTCTTAGGAGCAAAGATATTAATTTTTTTTTTTTACCTCAACAGTAGTCTTCAGCCAAGGCAGGGTGACCCAAAGAAGAAATTACATTCACCATCATACAGTTGCTGTCATATATACTGTATACTTTTCAAGCTACTATTAGATATATGGTAATTTTTTTTTACAAATGTATAGGGAAGAATGGGCTTCATGAGGTGCATATTTATTTCATTCCAACATGTGCAATATAGCATTTTGAATGAAAGTTATAATAAATGGAAGAAACTTTAACTTTCCAAAACTACCCCACCCCTTATTGTAATTATATTTTCCACTGGAAATTGCTTTCTAATAGTCCAGAACAGGAAAATATCAGCAAAACTGGCTGCCCACTTATCCTTTTGCTTATAATTAGTTCAGTATTTAAGCACTGAAAATGTGGTTGTTAAGGTCAGATATTGATATTAATGTTCATTTATTACGTAATATAGTGCCAATAAACATGTACCCTTTGACTGTTGGTGTCGTATATATATGTCTTACGAGCCAGTGTTTTTGACGTATTAATACTCCAAAATTCTAGCGGCTTCAAATCAAGTAGGAGAAAGCTGGTAGGCCCACATGTGAGAGAATGGGTCTGTGTGGTCAGTGTGTGCAGTATAAAAAAAATCCTGCAGCACGCAGTGCGTGATGAGAAAAAAAAACTCAGACCATGTTTTTGGATTAAAATGCTGACTTTGAGGTGTATTTTCATAAAGTATTTATGGTTGTATTCTCGTTTTCTTGGTCTCATTTGATAGAATGGAAGATATATTACAGAAATAGAGATGATTTTAATTGGTTTCACGATGAAAAGGACCTTGATATTGAGCTCAAACTAGCAGAAATGTTCGATTTTTGCCAATGTTCAAGAGTAAACAAATAACATCACCATCTAATACGTGTCCAACTGGCTGGTCTAATATGCAGTCACGAATGAGTTGACATTATTTATACAATTATTACAGTAATTCAGTAGTCTGCATAACAGTAAATCTTCTATTTTTTGAGTGAATAAGAATTCAAAATAGAATGCAAGAGTAATATAAGAGGAGCCTGGAGACATAACTAATGAACAGAGAAAATGTTATTTTAGTGCCAGGAATCTCTGCATTGTTTATTCTGGACCCTATTTTAAAATTGGCATCTTTTTTAATTTGTGTGAAATTGGCCAAATTGCCAAATTCTGACCACTTTATTGGGTAGTTGAAATTGGTAAATGGGCAGTTTTTTTTGTACTCAGCTGATAGAACAAGTGGAGTTCTAAAGAAATAGCTATGAGTTTGGTCGACTGGAACAATGGAATTGGCCGAAAATAGGGCTCAAAATGGGTGAAATCTCTGATGCATATATATCGCCGAGATCGCTAACTTCGCGAGAGCGTAAATCCATAAGTTTTCCATCACATTTCGTACTTTTGGTGTCATTACTATTGGAAAAAGATTCTCTATCACTTCATAAGAAATTTTTTTTTTTTTTTCGAATATTTTGAGACACAGGAAGACACTTCAGGATTTGGGGTCTCGACAGTCAAAGGGTTAAAAAGAAAAACTTTGATTTTTCTTCTTAGGTCACCCTACCTCGGTATTGTAAACTTCATAAAATAGTTTCCTATGAAATGTTTCTCATTTTACATTAACAACAGTGTATAAATATGTGCTGGTTGTAAGATGTGGGGTTACCAGAAATGTTATTCAGAGGGCTGAGGAGGGGTTATTGAGGTGGTTTGGACATGTAAATAGGGTGGAGGAAAATAGGATGACTAGCAGGGTGTATAAATATAGAGGCTCCCAGGAAGGGTTGGAGGAAGAGGGTAAAGGAGATTTTGAGAGCTAGGGGCTTGGACAGCCAACAGGCTTGTGTGGATGAGTTAGATAGCACTGAGTGGATGCTAGTGGATTTTTACAAATGATGTGCTGTTACAGTGTGAGCAGGTTAACATTTATGAAACAATTTAAGGAAACCGGTTATCCTGGCTTGTGTCCTGGAGGTAGGAGGTACAGTGCTTGCACTCTGAAGGAGGTGTGGGGATGTTGTATTTGGAGGATAATCTGAATTGTGATGTCAGCACGCTTCTGGGAAGAGAATGATTGAATAAATAAGTGTATGTGTTTTCCTCGGGTCATCCTGCATTAGCAGGAGATGGCCATTAAAGGAAAAACATGCATTAAAACCAACAATTCATAAATTGCACAAGCTGTGGGTAATATCAAACTCCTACAGTTATGCAGGCTATGGTGAATATCAGACTCCTTTCTTTGTACAGATTGTGATTAATAACAAACATTTCTTTACTTTTATTCAGAAAATTATTGTACTTGAAGTTGCAAATTTGTATTATGGACTTTATCATACATGTAACTTTATAAAGAAATTTAAGAAGTCTGAGATGTAGAGAAAGTTCAGCATAGTATGCAGCAAGAGGGTGTGGTTACCTGCAAGTGAGTGGGGTCTCAGATGATGGCTGGGTCAGATTTATTTAGAATCAGCTTTGCTAAAACCTCAGAGATGGTGAAAGACCTTGAATTTTGTGAAATGGTGTTGGCAGTGGCATTTAAAGACAATTGCAAATACAGTTGATCTGCTGTTTTGATAACTACAATACCATAACCCACACAATGCAGTATTATATATGCTGGTGAGTAAGAATTAACATGAATGGACAGATGTCACTGTGAATATGTTTAATACCTTGAATCCACTCTTTGTATATTACTGTTGTACCTTTGGGAAGTTCCTCCCAAAATGGGTTTGCAATGTAATTTTTAGTGGTTCTAAGGATCTTTGGAAAAAACTACTGTATTAAGAAATGCACAGGAAAGTACTGCTACTGTAAATGTGTACTGAATGTAAATACATGTTATAACTTGTGAGATAATGTGACAAGTGTACATAACATGATTTATATCACTTAGCAGCTATTCTCTACTCAGAACATAGTACTGTATCTAATGCAAATGTCCTCAGTAACAGGAATTTTGTTAACATTAGAATTGAATTCTCTCTAAAAAATGTATGCATACATACTATTATCATGCTTCTTAGTGTTTTTATATTGATCACAAAAGCACCTTTTGAGCAGTTGAATATCATGCCAGTTAAAAAGTTTCACTGACACCTTGATAAAACCTTTTGTAATCAAAGTGATATGTTGCCTTATCATAGAGACACAATCGTTTATTCTGTCACATTTCTTACATTAGTCATGTAGAGAACCAAGATAAGATTAAGACAAAGCTATATCACATCATTTTGTTAAAAATCAAGAAGCTGGCCCAAAAAGATAAATTCCCCCACTTCCTTTGCTGCAGATTTAAATAATTATTGAACCTGATTCTCCTGTTTTTGCTGATTTCAAACTTTACCAATAAGAAAAGTTAGAAAAATTAGTGTTTATTTTGTTAATTACTTCTCAGAAGTTTTCAGCAAATTTTAAAGTTCAGATTTATATAAAATTGTATTTAGATCTGTTTAAATGATAAAATTATTTTATACGTATTTTGTATATGCAAACTACATACCTTATCTCCTTAAGAATATGGAAATTATTTTATTTTTAATAATTAAGCATTATAGATTTTTATATTGAAAGATGAAAGATACTACACTTCTAAATGTGTTTTTTTATCCATCATATTAATCCTTATATGTAAATCAAAAGAATTCACTGAAGTGTGGCTTTTAGGTCCTTGAGTTTAGCACTCCCCCATGAATGTAATAATAATAATAATAATGTCTGTTAGTCATGTCACCCATAAGTGCTGCTGAGATTAAGAATTTTATATTTCAGAGTACTGTACTTATTGAATGTAGTACTGTACATAACTTTTTGTGATGTAGGTTAATATTTTACTCATATTTTTTAATGGGGTGGTCTGGTAAGCCATGGAAAGTCTGTGTTCTCTTGATTGAAAGCTCCTCTGATAGATTTAGTGCTGTATGACCCATATTATGGGTTTAGCTCTCTTTTGATGAATAAAATCATAAACAACTGAGTAAATCACCTGACGATAAATATCCCCTTTTCTTTATGTAGAGTACATTGGAACCTCTGGTCATGACCATAATTCATTCCAAAACTCTGGTCGCGACCCAAACCTAATTTCCTCATTGGATTGTATGTAAATACAATTAATCCGTTTTAGACCCCTACGAACTGTAGGTAAATATTGTTTTCTTAAGATTTTTAAGCACAAAAATAGTTAATTATACCATAGAATACACAGTGTAATAGTAAACTAAATGTAAAAACCTTGAATAACACTGAGAAAACCTTGAACAACAGAGAAAACTGACATTGCACGAGTCCATTCTAGACACCTACGAACTGTTTGCTGTAAGCAGTTTTTTTTTTTTTTAAGGGTTTTAACCCTTTGACTGTTTTGGTCATATATATTCGTCTTACGAGCCACCGTTTTTGACATATATATACTTATAAATTCTAGCGGCTTCAAATCAAGCAGGAGAAAGCTGGTAGGCCCACATGTGAGAGAATGGGTCTGTGTGGTCAGTGTGCACCATATAAAAAAAAATCCTGCAGCACGCAGTGCACAATGAGAAAAAATTCCGACCTTTTTTTTTTTAATTAAAATGCCGAGTTTTGGTCTACATATTTTCATATAGTATTTATGGTTGTATTCTCGTTTTCTTGGTCTCATTTGATAGAATGGAAAACATATTATAGAAATAGAGGTGATTTTGATTGGTTTTACTATGAAAAGAACCTTGAAATGGAGCTCTAAGTAGGGGAAATGTTTGATTTTTGCCAATGTTCAAAAGTAAATAATTGATATCATTTTCCAGTAAATGTCCAAGGAGCTATTCTAATATGCAGTCATGAATGGGTTGACATCATTTATACAATTATTACAATGTTGCAGTAGTCTGCATAACAGTAAATCTTGTATTTTTTGTTTGAATAAAAATTCAAAATAGAAAGCAAGAGTAATATCAGAGGGGCCTGGAGACATGACTAATGAACAAAGAAAATGTTATTTTGGAACCAGGAATGTGTGCATTGTTCATTCTTGACCCTATTTTGAAATTGACATATTTTTTAATTTTTGTGAAATTGGCCAAATTGCAAATTTCTGACCATGTTATTAGGTAGTTGAAATTGGTAAACGGGCAGTTTCTTGTACACAGTTGATAGAAAAATGGAGTTCTAAAGAAATAGCTATGAGTTTGGTCGACTGGAACAATGGAATTAGCCGAAAATAGGGTTCAAAGTGGGCGAAATCGCCAATTCGTAAATATTGCCGAGGTTGCTAACTTCGCAAGAGCGTAATTCCATAATTTTCCATCAGATTTTGTTTTTTTGGTACCATTACAATCGGGAAAAGATTCTCTATCATTTCATAAGAAAAAAAATTTTTTTTTTTTTTTTAAATTTTGCGACACCAGGAGACACCTCAGGATTTGGTGTTGCGACAGTCAAGGGGTTAAGGGACATGACTCAGGAAATTGTAATGACGCGATTGCAAACAAACCATACCACGGGTGGGATTTGAACCCGCGATCAGAGAGTCTCAAAACTCCAGACCGTCGCGTTAGCCACTGGACCAGCTAGCCACAATAAGATTTGTCCAACTAGGCATATTTCTACACCATAGGAAGGTTAGCATAGGCACCACTGTGAACACAAATGCAAGTTTTTACAGACGAATCTCCAGCTAGTGTGGCCGTGACGGCCACGCTAGCTGGAGATTCGTCTGTAAAAACTTGCATTTGTGGTCACAGTGTATTAATAATTTTCTAAAAAAAACCCAATACCTCTATAACAAGCACTGCCCTAAAAAAACTAAACAGATGACAGCAAAGAGACTGAACAGTCCCTGGCTAACACCCAGCATTCTCAAATCCATAAATACAAAACACCAATATGAAAAACAGTACAGAATGGGTCACATAACCAGAGACCAAACAAAACGTTACTCGTCAATCCTAACCAGCCTGATAAGAAGGGCAAAAAAATTGTATTATGAGAACAGATTATCCAACTTACGAGGTGATATAAAAAAGACCTGGAAAACCCTATCAGAAATTCTGGGAACAAAAAAGATATCACGAAATAGCGAAATAAAATTAGCAAAAACAGATGAACCCCAACTCCCACCAACAGAAACAGCAAACAGACTCAATGATTTCTTCTCCACTATAGGACAAAACCTTGCCCAATAAAATCCCAAGCTCAGATACCCCACCAAATGACTACCTCACCGGCAACTACCCGAACACACTGTTCCTAGCTCCGACTAACCCATACGAAGTCTCCCTTATTATCAACACACTAAAAAACAAGGCAGGAGATTTAAATACCTTACCACCCCTTATATACAAAAAAAGTGTCACAAGTGCTATCACCAATCATTGCAACACTCTTTAACAAATCCATTGAATCCTCCACCTTCCCTACAGTACTCAAAATAGCAAGGGTCACCCCAATCCACAAAGGAGGAGACCAAACAGAGTTGAATAACTATAGGCCAATATCCAACTTACACCCTCTCTCAAAAATCTTCGAAAAATTAATTCATAAACGAATCTACTCCTACCTTATCTCCCAAAACATACTCAACCCCTGCCAATTTGGATTCAGGCCTAATAAAAATACTAATGATGCTATTATACACATGCTAGAACATATATACACTGCAATAGAGAAAAAAAAAGTCCCACTGGGATCTCATTGACTTACGTAAAGCTTTTGATACAGTTGACCATGACTTGCTCCACGTAAAATTGTCACACTATGGTATAAGAGGGCACTCCCTCAACTACCTCAAGTCTTACCTCAGCAACAGAAGCCAATATGTGTACGCAAATGGGGCAAAACTCTTCTGCACAACCAATATACAGTTGGTGTCCCACAGGGAAGTGTCCTTGGCCCTCTTCTCTTTCTCCTATACATAAATGACCTTCCAAATGCTTCGCAATTACTCAAACCCACACTATTTGCAGATGACACTACATACGTCTTCTCTCACCCGAGCCCAGTCACGCTAGCCAATACTGTAAATACCGAATTACAGAAAATATCTACCTGGATGAGGACTAACAAACTTACACTAAACATTGACAAAACCTACTTCATTCAGTTTGGTAACAGAGCTACAGATGTCCCTCTTAACATAATGATAAATGGATCACCTATCACAAAACTAACAGAGGGAAAATTCTTAGGAATCCACCTTGATAATAGACTCAAATTTCATACACATATACATCAAATTTCTAAGAAAATTTCCAAGACTGTAGGCATACTATCGAAGATACGGTACTATGTTCCACAGTCAGCCCTCCTGGCCCTATATCACTCTCTTATTTACCCCTATCTCACCTATGGAATTTGTGCATGGGGCTCAACAACAATTAACCATCTCAGACCACTAATTACCCAACAAAAGGCTGCAGTTAGAATGATAACAAATTCTCACTACAGGCAGCACACTCCACCAATATTCAATACACTAAACCTACTCACCATACAAAACATCCATACTTATTACTGCACCTATTACATACATAGAACACTTAACTCTGATATTAACCCTCCCCTCAAACATCTCCTTGCCAACCTCAAACAGAACACATGACCATAAACACAAGGCACAGATCACTCTTTGATGTTCCTCGTGTCCATCTCACACTATGCAAAAACTCAATGCACATAAAAGGCCCTAAAATCTGGAATTCATTACCTGTAAATATAAAAGAAACACAACCTGTTTATAAATTCAAGTCTCTTCTCAAAGATTACTTACTCACCCAAAACCAAATAAATACTGAATAACTGAACATTATAAATTGTATATCTTAAATGTTTCTCACAATTATATCACATAAATGTTAAACCTAAAACCCAATCTAACTTTATTATTTTTTAAATACACTACCTAACAGAATCACTACCTAACTGAATGCAACCATATGACCTGTCTTTGTAATACTCACTTGTGCTTTATAGTTATCTGTTTACATTAATGTTTTATCACTGATTTCATCATTGCTTAGTAGCAGCGCTGTATAGTCCTTGTGGCTTAGCGCTTCTTTTTGATTATAATAATAATAATAATCATTGCTTAGTTAATCTTAAGTTAATTTTAAGCCAGCCCGTAATGCTATGCATAGTATAAGTGGCTTTGGCATACTGCTCTTATCTGTATTTTTTTTTGTACCTCTGTATGTGTGCACAAATTGGAAATAAATAAATAAATAAATAAACAGTGGTGCCTATGCTAACCTTCCTATGGTGTAGAAATATACCTAGTTGGACGAATCTTATTGTGGCTAGCTGGTCCAGTGGCTAATGTGACGGTCTGGAGTTTTGAGACTCTGACCGCGGGGGCAAATCCCACCCGTGGTATGGTTTTTTTAAGGGACATCTAATGGCTGAAAAGTGAACTCCATTATTTATTGTCCAATTTTTTTCATTTTTGGTGTATATTAAGAAGCATCTTTTCATCATACATTGCCCAAGTTTCAAGAAGATAGACCGACAAACAACTGAGAAAAATAAAAATTTACCAAAAATCATATATGGCAAGCCCTAGCCAGGTACTGGCACTGCAAAAAGCTTATTGTGCACTACCTGCTGATAAAACATTGCTAATCTGAATTTATCACAGTCATAATCGATAAATATGAGCGTGCACCAAAAAAAAAAAATTTGAGAAAATAAGTCGCTCTGACTTTTTTTGGGCTATCCTAGGTTCTTTACACATATGCTTCTATGCATGATACAACACAAGGAGTTCACAGCAAATGAACGCACATCTGACCGAGACAGACTACAAGGCAAGGGTCTTTATTAGGTGTACACAAACAACAGGAAGTAGGGAAAATTGGTACGCGCGAAAAAAATGGTGCAGAATGTGAAATTGGTGCGGCTGTCTTTGTTTGGCACCTGATTATGTGTTCATGACCAGATGCAAAAATTTGGCGAATTTTTTGGTCGTGAACCTATTTGCTCATGTTCAGAAGCATTCATGACCAGAGGTTCCACTGTATTTGTAGTGCAGTGGAACACTGGTTTTCGTCCGGTCTGGTTATCATACAATTCAGTTTTCGACCACTTTTTTCAGTGAAATTTTCCCCATTTTCATACATCCACTCAGAAATCATGCGTACCAGATGTGTCCATCTGCTTGCAGGATGTGGCTGCTCATACATTCATGACTCAGTCTGCATTTGTTACTCTTTCAGGGAGCATTACTCCGAGCGTTCATCCGAAACATTTTGTAATAATCCATTGTTTTTTGTGCTTGCGACTGCTAAATAAGCCACCATGGGGCCAAAGAAAGTTCTAAGTGCCAGCCCTTTGGTAAAGAAGGTGAGAAACACGATAGAATTCAACAAATAACTCGTAGAAAAATACAAAAGTGGTGTACGTGTGATGTTAAATGTTCATTTATTCATTTCATTAGTCATTTATATATATTTTTCATTGTTTTCTGTATAAAATGTATTTTTTGTTAATATTTTTGGGTGTCTGGAACGTATTAATTGGATTTACATTATTTCTTATGGGAAATATTACTTCATTTTTCGTACAAATTGGTTTTCAGCAAACCTTCTGGAACGGATTAAAGACAAAATCGGGTTTCCGCTTTACTTTTTGAACTGAATTTAGATAGTTCAGTGATCCACATGCTAACAACTGTATTACAGTCAGATTACAGGAATTCAGACTAGTAAACCCCACTAGGTTACAGCTGGGTTGTAGGTGACTCTGGTACAGTAAAATAATGGTCCAATCTACAACTTATATTAGTATCATTTATGACTTCAAAGCCCAGTTTGAATTCTACAAAAACAAAATTGTACTGTAGTTTTAAAAACTTTCAATTCTTAGTTTAAGAATCATACAGTCCAACACTGGTAAGCCTGGTTGTCACTCCTGTGATCTGCTGTTGGTCCAGTAGCCACCTTATCTTTAATGGTGTCCTAAGACACTACCATTTTGTTGTACTTCCATAAAGCAGCTGCCACTGAGTGGATCATCTTATAACAAAGTTTGTGACAGCTGATTTTTTCCTGATGAATCAGAAAGATTCCTTTTGAAGTGAAATAACATGGATGTCAATAAACAGCCTCCATCAACAGTTCACCTTGATTCCCTTAATTGCAAGTTTACATGGCCAATTTGCATTTTGATGTTAAAGAAAATGCTGCCCATCTGAACTCAATCCAAAAGGTTCTAATTGCCATCCATAATACATTAGCATATCAGCAAAGCCTTGAATTTCAAATGCAGTACATATTGTACTATACCTGGTAGCCCAGCTATTAATTGTATTGACAACAAATTGATATTATCTGAGGAGACAGGTTCTTTGCCTCTGCAACCTCACATTTACTTCCACTCAGTACCAAGCTTATCCTCAACTTTGTTAGCATGGAGTTAACCAAACTCACTGACATAGAGAAAGCAACAAGGTATCAAGTTGCTTGAATTTGACAATGCTGTATGACCCACATGGGTTTAGAACATAATAAATATACAGTATTATTATCATTTACTTTCTGATTGACTTTTCCTTCACCAGGGGTGCCATGATGCTGGTGACATTCTTGATCCAAGGAATTTGAGCTACTCTCTTCTTGGATCAAACCTGATTACTGTTACCTTTTTGGGATTCCCCAAGTTCTGTATGACCCCCTACAGGTTTGTGCTTAACATAAATATGTTAAAATGAGCCTGAGTTTTTAGTCCAAATACATGTATGGAATTTACTCTGCTGGATTTTCCTTTACATGCATTCGTGATGAACCCTGGCCAGCTATGATGTACTACCTCCCAGTATGTGATATGCAACAGTATTGTAACATCCAGGTAGGAGTACCTATTTACTGATAACGAGTAGCAGGTGTAAGGAGACTTGCCTGTCTTACCCTACCTGGAGATCAAACTAGGTCTTCATAAGCTAAAGGCTCTGTACTCCACGAGGTATAGTTGTAACACCTTGTGTGAGACATAATCCTGTGGTTTAGCGCTTATTTTTTATTGTAATATAATAATTTATGAGACATGCTTTATTTATTATTTTTATGTCAGAAGTCAGTTACAGGTATGGTAAAATTATAAATAGAGGCCACCTTTAAAATCCCTTGAACATTAGCCTTTAGATGCATAATACAACTGATAAGTTGACATGAATATTATGAGTGAGTTGGTTGTGAAAAGAATTCTATCACCTTTATGGGTCTTGCATTCCCCTACCCATGAAAGTGATAGTGCTTCCCATGAAAATAATAAGTGTTCCCCACGAACATAACATTACCCCATACATTAATACCAATGGTCCCTCATTATGTGTGACCCCTTTGAGAGAACTTGGGTAGTGTGATGGTTACTGGCCGTGTGAGGGAGAGTTGTGTGACATAGGACCATGTGAGAGTTGAGGACAGTGTTCAAGAATGAGTGTAATGAGAGACCTTGTAGTGTAGGACGGAGGACAGTGAGTGATGCGTAGTGTAGGAGGGAGAACAGTGAGTAAAGGATATTGTGGGAGAGAAGACTGAGGCAGGGAAAGTACTTTGCAGAAGGGAGGGCTGTCAACGGGAAGGTAATGTGCAAAAGGAAGAGCCATGGAAGGGAAGGTATTGGGAGAGCCGTGAGAAGGAAAGCGGTGCGTGGGAGGGGGAGGGGGTTGTGAGGATGGTAGTGTGTGAAATGGAGGGTGGGAGGGAGGCCCGTCGTGGTAGAGTTTAGTGCGAGAAAGGGAGGGCCATGAGAGGGGAAAGTAGCGTGCGGGAGGGCAGTTTAGGGAGGAAGCATAGTATGCGGGAGGGCAGTTTAAGGAGAGAGTGTAGTGTGCGGGAGAGCAGTTTAGGAAGGGAGCGTAGTGTGCGGGAGGGCAGTTTAGGAAGGGAGCGTAGTGTGCGGGAGGGCAGTTTAGGGAAGGAGCGTAATGTGCGGGAGGGCAGTTTAGGAAGGGACCGTAGTGTGCGGGAGGGCAGTTTAAGGAGAGAGTGTAGTGTGGGGGAGAGCAGTTTAGGAAGGGAGCGTAGTGTGCGGGAGGGTAGTTTAGGAAGGGAGCGTAGTGTGCGAGAGGGCAGTTTAAGGAGGGAGTGTAGTGTGCGGGAGGGCAGTTTAAGGAGAGAGTGTAGTGTGCGGGAGAGCAGTTTAGGAAGGGAGCGTAGTGTGCGGGAGGGTAGTTTAGGAAGGGAGCGTAGTGTGCGGGAGGGCAGTTTAGGGAGGGAGCGTAGTGTGCGGGAGGGCAGTTTAAGGAGGGAGTGTAGTGTGCGGGAGGGCAGTTTAGGAAGGGAGCGTAGTGTGCGGGAGGGCAGTTAGGAAGGGAGCTAGTATGTGGGGGGAGGGCAGTTTAGGAGGGAGCGTAGTGTGCGGGAGGACAGTTTAGGAGGGAGTGTAGTGTGCGGGAGGGCAGTTTAGGAAGGGAGCGTAGTGTGCGGGAGGGTTGGAAGGGGGGCGGGAAGCAGTTTAGGGAGGGAGCGTAGTGTGCGGGAGGGCAGTCTAGGGAAGGAGCGTAGTGTGCGGGAGGGCAGTTTAGGGAGGGAGCGTAGTGTGGGAGGGCAGTTTAGGAAGGGAGCATAGTGTGCGGGAGGGCAGTCTAGGGAAGGAGCATAGTGTGCGGGAGAGCAGTTTAGGAAGGGAGCGTAGTGTGCGGGAGGGCAGTTTAGGAAGGGAGCGTAGTGAGCGGGAGAGCAGTTTAGGGAGGGAGCGTAGTGTGCGGGAGAGCAGTTTAGGAAGTTAGCGTAGTGTGCGGGAGGGCAGTTTAGGAAGGGAGCGTAGTGTGCAGGAGGGCAGTCTAGGGAGGGGCAGAGTGTGCGGGAGGGCTGGTTAGGGAAATGGAAGGAGTCGAGAGGGGGTATTATTTTTATTAAAAATATTATTAAATAATCAAAACTAAACGCTAAACCCGCAGTCAGTGAGGGGGAAGTAATTTCGGGGGGCAGTGTTTGGGGTTAGTGAGGGAGGGCAGTGTTAGGGAGTGTTGTGGGAGGGCACTGTTTGGGGGGTGTAGTGAGGGGGGCAGGTTTGGGGGTATGAGGGGGGCAGGTTTGGGGGGTGTAGGTGGGGGCAGTTTAGGGATAAATGGGGAGGGCAGTGTTAGGGAGTGTAGTGAGGGAGGGCAGTGTTAGGGAGTGTAGTGAGGGAGGGCAGTGTTAGGGAGTGTAGTGAGGGAGGGCAGTGTTAGAGAGTGTAGTGAAGGAGGGCAGTGCTAGGGAGGGAGGGCAGTGTTAGGGAGTGTAGGGAGGGAGAGCAGTGTTAGGGAGTGTAGGGAGGGAGGGCAGTGTTAGGGCGTGTAATGAGGGAGGGCAGTGTTAGGGTATAGTGAGGGAGGGCAGTGTTAGGGAGTGTAGTAAATGAGGGCAGTGCTAGGGAGGGAGGGCAGTTTTAGGGAGTGTAATGAGGGAGGGCAGTGTTAGGGTGTAGTGAGGGAGGGCAGTGTTAGGGAGTGTAGTAAATGAGGGCAGTGCTAGGGAGGGAGGGCAGTGTTAGGGAGTGTAGGGAGGGAGGGCAGTGTTAGGGAGTGTAATGAGGGAGGGCAGTGTTAGGATGTAGTGAGGGAGGGCAGTGTTAGGGAGTGTAGTGAAGGAGGGCAGTGTTAGGGAGTGTAGGGAGGGAGGGCAGTGTTAGGGTGTAGTGAGGGAGGGCAGTGTTAGGGAGTGTAGTGAGGGAGGGCACTGTTAGGGAGTGTAGTGAGGGAGGACAGTGTTAGGATGTAGTGAGGGAGGGCAGTGTTAGGGAGTGTAGTGAAGGAGGGCAGTGTTAGGGAGTGTAGTGAGGGACGGCAGTGTTAGGGGAGTGTAGGGAGGGAGGGCAGTGTTAGGGTGTAGTGAGGGAGGGCAGTGTAGTGAGGGAGGGCACTGTTAGGGAGTGTAGTGAGGGAGGGCAGTGTTAGGGAGTGTAGTGAGGGACGGCAGTGTTAGCGAGTGTAGTGAGGGAGGGCAGTGTTAGGGAGTGTAGTGAGGGAGGGCAGTGTTGTCTGGAGGATCATGGCCCCTCAAGGGAGGTTCCTTGGTGCTGGTGAAGGGCTCTTGATCTTAAGAATTGGATCTGTGCTCCAGTTCCCTGAATTGAACCTGAATGCCTTCCATCCCCCCTCCCTTCACATGCGCTGTATAATCCTGTGGGTTTAGCGCTCCCCCATGATTATAGTAATTATTAATAATGAAGGATGATGGGAGGGAACAGTGTGCGGGTGGGCAGTGGTAATTAAGGTCCTTCGGGAAAATCAGAATATTTATCATTGCATTCATAGCGGAAAGCGCTGACCCACAAGGGTCAGACCGTCTGGAGGAATGGGAGGCAATCAATTTCAATTTAAGGAGAGGGAGGACAGGTTCAATTCCTTGGATCCAGAGCCCATCACCGGCACCTGCCATGATGGGAGGGCCTTGAGAGAGAGCGGGAGTGAGGGCTGGCTGGGTGTCATTGACTCAGTGTAGCCGCTACCACCATCACTGAGGGAGTAACACCATCATGGCCTACACTCGCGCTGAACGTTTGGCCATAGACACTTACTCCAAGTGTGATACCCGGGAGATTAAATATGGCACGGCCGGCTTCAGAAGCAAGTGAGAACTTTATATATTACCCTTAACAAGGCTCGTTTATTGAAATCACTTGTGGCATGTGTTGGCTGCCTGTAATCCACTTCGAGAATTGATTTTTTTTTTTTTGTCTTGAGAAAGTTGCCCACAGGTGAAACCGGCTTATGTAGATCCCTTGAAGTGAATATTTGTTATTCCAGAGCTACAACATTTGTTCCAGTTTTCTAAAGACACTGACTTCTACCGATGGTTCCAGATGTACTGAATAATTCTATATATTACCTGAGTAAACTATCAATGACAACCTCTATGATTAATTAACCGGTATAAGCCGTGTGTCATTAGTTACTGATTTATATGTTAGTTTTGAATAGTGGAAAGTATATAACAAAGACTGAGGTAACTGAAAGCATAAATATAAGACGTGATAGTTTTAATTTATATTCGTTATTAAAAAATAGCATAATGGAATGCAAGTGATCTCACCGACGTTCCCAAATCGTCGATCGATCAAAAGTAAATTTTGCTACTGGCCAAGAGTTCTCTCATATTTAGCTGAAACTTTACAAACACTAACCAAGCATAACAGCATGATCTAATGCAACTTAAATCTATATTATGCTTTTGGACAACTGCTTAAAATTTATCAGACTGCCGAGCCTGCAGCCTTAATAACTCATTGACGTTGGGCATTTAAATAGTTGATGACTGATTTGATGGCTTTCCTGATTTAATGACATTTTACAAAGCTTGTACTAGAGCAGGCAAAAGTGTTTTCTCTTCCATATCCTGTCATGGGAGGTGCCAGTGAGGGCGGCTCTTGATCCTCTTACGCAGAGCATAGGTTGATTTTGTCCCCAGGATGCGACCCACTCAAATCCACTAACACTCGGGTACCTGTTGTACTGATAAGTGAACATGGACAGCAGGCGTTTTAAGGAAACTTGTCCTGATGTCTCCACCCGTACTGGGGATCGAACCACGAACCTCAAGTGTGTGAGCTATGTGTCCTTGAAATCAAGCTAGCAATGATTGCCACCCATTACTTGTGCAGTGTATGACCCTTATGGGTTCAGGATTTCCCCTTAATAATAATAATAATAATAATAATAATAATAATAATAATATCTTTATTTACTACAAGTACATGTACATGGTACAGGCCTAGCTGACATCAATGACATACTACTATATAGAAAGCCCCTTGTTATGCTCTGCATGTTGGGCAAATTAGGTCAGTGTCCCAAGATGCGACCCACACCAGTCGACTAACACCCAGGTACCCATTTTACTGATGGGGAACATAGACAACAGGTGGAAGGAAACATGCCCAATGTTTCTACTCTGGCTGGGAATCGAACCCAGGCCCTCGCCGTGTGAAGCGAGAGCGTTAGCCACCAGGCCACCAAAGCCTTATAATAATAATAATAATATTAATAAGTTATTCAGTAATAATAAGTTAATAATAATAGCAATAAAATGCAGTGCTGTATGACCTTTGTGGGTTTAGTGCTTAGTTATGATGATAATAATAATAATAGTTAATCACAATTTATGCAGCATATGTCTTAAATGGTATATGCAGTACATCGAGAGATGTGTCCATATGTAGAATTGCCTTTATGAACTAAAGAAGCTTTAATTTTAGCCTTTCTGTGAACTGTGAACCTAATTATAATAGTGTAATTGGATTTAAAAAATTGAGGAATTGTAGTAATATCCTAGGTTAAGTAATTGTTATATTATTTTGATAATATGGTACGTAAAATTATGTACCAGGTATATCCATAATGTATTCATTCATAAGCACAGATGTTTTATGTTTTTGTTGGTTTATGTTGCACAAACAGTCTAGGCATTTAATGGTAATTTAATAAAGATGAACCTTTAAAAAAACTTTTTTTTTTTTTTAAACTACAGTCCTTCATTTCACCATCCTTATCAAAAGCGCTGCAGTACTCTGTTAGATATGTATTGAACTTGACCCATTTATTTTGTTAGAAAATGGTAATTTTCTCTTTTAAATAGAAAATTTATTCTGAAACATGGACTGTTAACTTTGAGATTGCACTAAACATACATTTATTTTCAGGGCAGATCAGCTGGACTACATCATGTATCGGATGGGCCTCCTTGCAGGTCTCCGAGCCCAGGACACATCAGGTAACACTCATGTAGAATGCTCTTTAATCCTTAAATTGTCCAAGCGTAGATCTACGATTGCTCGTGTAGCGCTCCGAACGTAGAGCTACGTTTTTATACATGCTTTCAAATTGGGAAAATCAAGGTCGGAGAGCTACGCGTGTAAACGAAGATCTACGTTTAGACAGTTTAAGGATTAATGTGGAGGGTTAGTAACCCAAGAAAGCAGTCAGTGTGCCTTATTTCCAATGGGGTTTTTGATCCACTACCTCAAGGTGTTATCCATAACAGTTGGCAGGCATTCAGGTATTTAATTTACTGCTAGGTGAACAAGCTCAACAAGTGTAAGGAAACATTATCAACATTGCCACTCATTCCAGGATCAAACCTGGATACTTTGGTTATAAACTAAAATTGCTCCCACTGAGCCATTAGTTATTTAACTTGTGTAATATAAGAATAGATGACCACTGCAGTAGACCTGCTGGCCCATGCTAGGCAAGTCAACTCACACCCAGCTATAAATAACAAAAAGGCACAATACCGTGACTGGAACGACACACAAATAACCCGCACATAAAAGACAGAAGCTTACGACGACGTTTCGGTCCGACTTGGACCACTGACAAAGTCATTGACTTTGTCAATGGTCCAAGTCGGACCGAAACGTCGTCGTAAGCTTCTGTCTTTTATGTGCGGGTTATTTGTGTACCCAGCTATATTCATGTGTATTATTTTTCCTACCCTTTTTTTAACTGTTCAGAGTACTGTCCACATTAAAGTGTTCTATAAAATAGACACCCTTTGTAACAAACACTACAAAAAGCTCTCTCTACAAAGAGACTTTCTATACATTACTCTTATTTCCCATCCTCTAGGGAGGCATCTTATACAGTGAGGGGTTATTGATCCAAGGAATTGAACTTATCCTCTCCTTCTTTGGATCAAACCTGATTGCCCCCATTCCCATAACCCTGTGCTTTTCCCTGATTGAAATAAATAAATACTTTTATTTCTACTACTGACACTCGTTTGTTTTATAGATGATTGCTACCAAGACTGTGTTTTTTTTAGCTCTACTTTTTGTTTCTATCTTGGTATGCCTTATAAAGAGGTATTATTTTTTAATTGTAAGAAATCTATGCAAACATTGTGATTTGAGACTGATTTAGCAGAGAGAAATACTGTTACTTATTGTGACTGCAAAAATAAATTTATGCTACTAATATTCTGACTTTTTAGTTTGGGAAGGAATTGTTAAGTTTTCTGAATAAAAATGAGATTGATTGCACTTGCAAAATAATATAGTAGTACTTTCAGAACTTCCCTTTAAGCATTTTCTTCCATAATCCAAACAGCCCAGCTTAGCCTGAATCACAGTAACCTTGTCTATAACCTGTTGTATATGCTTTGAACATGTGCAACAGTTAATTTATAAATTCATTCATTATGGGCTAACAGTTAACATTACATTTTCCAGCTGCTATTGGTGTTATGATCACTGCCTCACACAACCCAGAACAAGACAATGGAATTAAATTAGTAGATCCTATGGGAGAAATGTTAGCACCAGCCTGGGAGGCACATGCAACCACTTTGGTGAATGCTCCAGATGATGGAGTTGCTGGTGTACTAGAAAAGATTGTCAGTGAAGCGTGCATTGATACAAACAAGAAAGCACTAGTATTTGTTGGTAGAGATACTAGGTAAGCATGCTCAAGGGGGACAAGTTTGTTGATTGTGTGATTTAGGAGTCTTTGGAAACAGTAACCTAAGAATGAACTGAATGCAGGAGAAATCATGACAGATTTGTTTTGGTTAAAACATAATTAATAAAGATTTTGCTGTCATATTTGTCAGATAAATTACTACCTTCACAGCAACAGTAAGAGTGGAAAAGTAGAAATTACTTCAGCTAGTATTGTATGTTTAGCACTAAAAGATAAAAATGGAGAAGCACAGAAACTTAAATTGAAAAGCAGTAGCTTACAAAAACTTAATATCTCCAGTCATGTACTGATGGATTGAAATATATAAAAGTTTTTAGTACAAGAGCTTAAAGCCACCACAGTAAAGATTGCACAGAATTATTTTTTTTTCGGTTAACTGGCTCAAGATTTTTAGTAAAGCAGTTAATTGTCTTACAGGCCCAGTAGCAACCGTTTACGTGATGCAGTGATTGCAGGTGTAACTGCAATAGGTGGAGAAGTTAAAGATTTTGGAATAATCTCTACTCCAATTCTGCATTATGTTGTTACTTGCTACAATGATGGTGAAAAGTGAGTACTTATTTTTCACCTTTTTAAATTAAAATCTCTTTTTTAACTCAAACTTTACTCTGAATAGAAATTAGAAAAACGTTTAGTACTGTATGTGTCAGTCATTTAGTACACTAAATGTTGAGTATATATTGAATAGTACAGAATGTAATTGGCACATTTTAGCAAAATAGGCTAAACAGTTCTCCTGCAATTGTGAAAAAACCTGTGATCTGGTTATTATCTGACTGCACTTACCTGTTTTTAGCTACAGGAGCAGAGCTGTGTTTATGGTGTCCTGTTTTCAGTATTTAATATATCTTAATTTTGTTAAATTTCCAATAGTTATAGCATTTAAAAGTAATCGTAATCTTTTAAGGGTTTGGCTGTCACACTTGGCAAGTAACTTCATACTTTTTGTGTCTCTTCTTCCTCTCATACAATGAATGCATTTTATAGTGTTTTTCATTCTTCATAAATCATAATTTTTAGCTCTTGGAGTCACTCTTGTAGCTTCCCCTTTTACTTTTTTTTTTTTATGTTATTCACATTTTTCAGGTACCAAACACTTCAGTAAGGAAAACTGTTAAAGTGCAAACTATCTTCTAGTTGGTAGTTATATTGTATTAGTTGCTGAAACAAGGTACAGTATTGTACTGTATTTTGTGGATTACTCTGTAAATAAGTCATTCTGGAAATACTGTAATATACCTGGAGGGGATTTTGGGGGTCAACGCCCCTGCCGCCTGGTCTGTGACCAGGCCTCATGGTGCATCAGGCCTGATCAGCCAGGCTGTTACTACTGGTCACATGTAAACTGATGTACAAACCACAGCCTGGCTGGTCAGGTACTGACTTTAGGTGCCTGTCCAGCTCCCTCTTGAAGACAGCCAGGGGTCTATTGGTAATCCCCCTTATGTATGCTGGGAGGCAGTTGAACAGTCTTGGGCCCCTGATATGACACTTATTGTGTTGTCTCTTAGCATACTCATGGTGCCCCTGCTTTTCACTGGGGGATGTTACATCTTCTGCCAAGTCTTTTGCTTTTGTAGGGAGTGATTTCCGTATGCAGATTTCGGATTAGTCCCTCTTGGATTTTCCAAGTGTATATTATCATGTATCTTTCTTGTCTGCATTCCAGGGAATACTTTGGGTAGTGGTGGTTTTGACAAGGACCTGCCTTGTATGAGCCAGTAGGCCTTTTGCAGTGTTCCTCCATTCTTATGTTCATACAAATCAAGGGACTTCAACCATTCATGGACTTTATACTTGTGTGTGCTGTGGAAGCTCTCTGTATATTCTCAAGGTCTGCAATTTGCCTGCCTTGAAAGGGGGCATTAGTATGCAGCAATATTCCAGCCTAGAGAGAGCAACTGATTTGAATAGAATCATCATGGGCTTATCATCTCTTTGTTTTGAAGGTTCTCATTATCCATCCTATCATTTTCCTAGCAGATATGGTAGATACACTGTGATCTTTGAAAGTGAGATTCTCTGACTTATTACTCCCAGGTCCTTCACATTAGTTTTTTGCTCAATTGTGTGGTTGGAATTTGTCTTGTACTCCGATACTGTTTCACTGTCCTTGAGTTTTCCATAGCAGAGTAATTGAAATTTGTCTTCGTTGAACTTCATTTTGTTTTCTGCGTCTCATTTAAGAAAGACTTAGGTGATGTCCACTTGGAGATTTGCAGTGTTTTCGATGGATGACACTGTCATACAAGTTTGGGTGTCATCTGCAAAGGATGACATGGTGTTGTGGCTTACATCTCTGTTTATGTCAGATATGAGGATGAGGAACAGGATGGGAGTGAATACTGTACCTTGTGGAACAGAGCTTTTCACTGTAGCTGCCTCTGATTTTACTCTGTTTACTATTACTCTCTGTGTTTCATTTATTAGAAAGTCATAGCTCCATCTACCCACTTTTCCTGTTATTCCTTTTTCATGCATTTTTTGTTTGACAATACTGAGTTATCTTAGGTTTTTGTTATGTTTTATATTCAGCTTCATAGTTTAGAGATTAGAGGAAGGTGTGGTGTTGCTAAAAGTATTGTCCAGTGGGCTGAGGAGGGGTTACTGAGGTGGTTCGGACATTTAGAGAGGGTGGAGCAAAATAGGATAACTTGGAGGGTATATAAATCTGTTATGGAGGTAAAGATGGGTAGGGGATCATCCCTGGAAAGGTTGTAGGGAGGGAGCAAAGGTTTTGTATGAGGCTTGGACATCCAGTAGGCATATGTGAGATGGGAAGTACAGTGCCAGTACTCTGCAGGAGGGGTGGGGGTATTGTACGTACTTTGGAGGGACATCTGAGTTGTAATGTCAGCATGCCTCTGGCAATACAGTGATTGAGTGAGTAATGGTGAAAGTGTTTCTTCATTTTTGGGTCACCCTACCTCAGTGAGAGATGGCCAGTGTGTTAAAAAAAAAATTTAGTTTTGAGGGAATGCCCTAAGTTATATAAACATACTGTAATTTCTAAGTGTCCATAATCCATCACAGCCTGGTTGATCTGGCACCTGGTGAAGATACTTGTCCAGGAAACTGGACAAATATCTTCATCAGGTGCCAGATCAACCAGGCTATGATAGATATGTGGGGCAGTGGGCCTCCAGCAGCAACAGCCTGGTTGACCAGGCAAGCACCAGACGAGCCTGGCCCATGGCCAGGCTCAGAGTAGATAAACTCTCGAAACTCTTCAGAGGTATATCTTCAGAAGGTAACGTATAATACCTGTGTCTTCAGGCTACTATAAAACTTGTACAGTATTTATAAAGAACTTTTATGATATCAGAATTGCTACAAGGTGTAATACTCATGGAAATAAATCTACATAGTTTACTTATTGACTGAAATCCACTTAGTATTATGAAACTGTAATAAATTTGCAATGAATAAGGCATCTTCCTGGCAGTTCCATTCACTCTTTGCTGGTAAGGAAGCTGGTGGTGGAATAACTGGTCATGGTTTCATTGGTCACTTATGCAGTAGTTAGGTAATTTTGCTCCATGATGCAGTGTATGGATCCACCTGGTCTTGGATTTTTATTTTTTCAAAATGAAAAGTTTGTAAGAGATTCAAACAGTTGAGCTGAGGTCAGAATATTGGCAGGTGGCATATTTAACCCTTAAACTGTCCAAACATAGATCTACGTTCACGTGCATAGCGCTCCGAACGTAAATCTACGTTTTTTTTTTTTTTTTTTTTTTACATTTGAAAGCATGTAAAATAAAATGTAGATTTACGCTTGGAGCACTACGTACGTGAACGTAGATTTGTGTTCGGATAGTTCAAGGGTTAAAAACACGGAAAAATTGTGCATGTTGGTATGTCAAACTCAGTCCTCACCTTCATGCTAGTACATTGGACACAGTTAAAAAGTTAAATACAGATATTTAGTGAGTTTCACTCTCCATGTAGTTGTCATATTTTTTATAATTACAAAGGTACCTGTAGTGACCTTGGGGACCTTTTAGAATGCTTTTTAACATTACTATTTTAATGGGGGATTTTAATTAATGCTAGCTAGTTTAACTTGGTTTGATTGTTTTATTTGCATTGAGTGCTTATGTTTGTTGCTCTTATTGTTTGTTGATTTTATCTTTTTTATTTTATTGTGTAATTTTTAATGCCTATGAGCACTGAGTAACCTATTAGGTCAAACTGCTTCATAAATGTCATACCACCCTCCTCCTCCTCCTCCCTCAGTGAACCTACGAAGTAAGAATCTTGTATGTGGTAGGCACATAATTTTCGTATTAATGTTGGTAGAATTACGGATCATTATTTAGTTGTAGCTACAGTTAGAGTAAAAGGTAGATGAGACAAGAGGAAAATGGCAACAACAAGTAAGAGAGGCGAAAGTGTATAAACTAAGGGAGGAGGAAGTTCGGGTGAGATATAAGCAACTATTTGCAGAAAGGTGGGCTAGTGCAAGTATGAGTAGTGGGGGGGTTGAAGATGGTTGGAATAGTTTTAAAAATGCAGTATTAGAATGTGCGGCAGAAGTTTGTGGTTATAGGAGGGTAGGTGCAGGAGGAAAGAGGACTGATTGGTGGAATGATGAAGTAAAGGGTGTGATAAAAGAGAAAAAGGTAGCTTATGAGAGGTTTTTTACAAAGCAGAAGTATTATAAGAAGAGTAGAGTATATGGAGAGTTAAAGAAAGGTGGAGAGAATGCAAAAGGAGAGCAGATGATAGAGTGGGAGAGGCACTGTCAAGAAATTTTAATGAAAATAAGAAAAAATTTTGGAGTGAGTTAAACAAGTTAAGAAAGCCTAGGGAACGAATGGATTTGTCAGTTAAAAACAGAGTAGGGGAGTTAGTAGATGGGGAGCTGGAGGTATTGCGTAGATGGTGGGAATATTTTGAGGAACTTTTATATGTCAATGAAGAAAGGGAGGCGGTAATTTAATACATTGGCCAGGGAGTGAATGGGAGCGAGGATTGGGGAGTGAGGCTTAGTAATGAAGAAGCAGCGGAACTGCAGATGAGATGTGAAAGCGGGAGGGATGCGTGAGGCAATTACTGTAGAATGAGAGTGGTAAAGCAGCTGGAACTGACGGATCATGAGAGAAATGTTAAAAGCAGGGGGATATACGGGTTCGAAAGGTTGGTATTTTTGTTTAATAAATGTATGAAAGAGGGGAAGGTACGTAGGGATTGGCAGAGAGCATGTATAGTTCCTTCATATAAAGGGAAGGGGGACAAAAGAGATTGTAAAAATTATAGAGGAATTAGTTTACTGAGTATACCAGGAAAAGTGTTCGGTAGGGTTATTATTGAAAGAATTAGAGGTAAGACAGAATGTAGGATTGCGGATGAGCAAGGATGTTTTAGAGTGGGTAGGGGATGTGCAGACCAAGTGTTTACATTGAAGCTTATATGTGAACAGTATTTAGATAAGGGTAGGGAAGTTTTCATTGCATTTATGGATTTAGAAAAGGCATATGATAGTGGATAGGGGAGCAGTGTGGGACATGTTGCAAGTGTATGGAATAGGTAGTAAGTTACAAAATGCTGTAAAGAGTTTTTATGAGGATAGTGAGGCTCAGGTTAGGGTGTGTAGAAGAGAGGGAGACTACTTCCCAGTAAAAGTAGGTCTTAGACAGGAATGTGTAATGCCATCCTGGTTGTTTTATTTGTGGATGGGGTTGTAAAAGAAATTAATGCTAGGGTGATTGGGAGAGGGGTGGGATTAAATTATGGGGAGTCAAATGCAAAAATGGGAATTGACACAGTTACCTTTTGCTGATGATACTGTGCTTATGGGAGATTCTATAGGAAAATTGCCAAGGTTATTGGACGAGTTTGGGAGTGTGTGTAAAGGTAGAAAGTTGAAAGTGAACATAGAAAAGAGTAAGGTGATGAGGGTATCAAATGATTTAGATAAAGAAAATTGGATATCAAATTGGAGAGGAGTATGGAAGAAGTGAATGTTTTCAGATATTTGGGAGTTGATGTGTCAGTGGATGGATTTATGAAGGATGAGGTTAATCATAAAATTGATGAGGGGGAAAAAAGGCGAGTGGTGCAATGAGGTATATGTGTAGACAAAAAAACATTATCTATGGAGGGAAAGAAGGGAATGTATGAAAGTACAGTGGTACCAACACACTTATATGGGTGTGAAGCTTGGGTTGTAAATGCTGCAGCGAGGAGGTGGTTGGAGGCAGTGGAAATGTCCTGCCTAAGGGCAATGTTTGGTGTAAATATGCAGAAAATTTGGAGTGTGGAAATTAGGAGGTGTGGAGTTAATAAAAGTATTAGTCAGAGGACTGAAGAGGGGTTGTTGAGGTGGTTTGGTCATTTAGAGAAAATGGATCAAAGTAGGATGACATGGAGAGCGTATAAATCTGTAGGGGAAGGAAGGCGGGGTAGGGGTCGTCTTCGAAAAGGTTGGAGGGAAGGGGTAAAGGAGGTTTTGTGGGCGAGGGGCTTGGACTTCCAGCAAGTGTGCATGAACATGTTAGATAGGAGTGAATGGAGACGTATGGTATTTGGGTCCTGATGAGCTGTTGGAGTGTGAGCAGGGTAATAGTGAAGGGATTCAGGGAAACCGGTTATTTTCATATAGCTGGACTTGAGTCCTGGAAATGGGAAGTACAATGCCTGCACTTTAAAGGAGGGGTTTGGGATATTGGCAGTTTGGAGGGATATGTTGTGTATCTTTATACGTATGTGCTTCTAAACTGTTGTATCCTGAGCACTTTTGCAAAAACAGCGATTATGTGTGAGTGAGGTGAAAGTGTTGAATTATGATGAAACTATTTTCTTTTTGGGTCACCCTGCTTCGGTGGGAGATAGCCGACTTGTTAAAAAAAAAAAAAAAAGAATTACCGATAATATGTAAAGTAAAAGGACACAAGTGCAAGTACATAATGTGACATTTTATTAGTGGCAACGTTTGCTCTCCAGGAGCTTTATCACACTGTTACAAACAATACATGGACACACAGGGCATATACAGTGGACCCTCGACCAACGATGGCATCATCTAACGTTAAATCCGACTAGCGATACATTTTAACGCAAAAATTTTGCCTCGACTGGCGCTAAAAAACTCGACCAACTCGATTTGTTCCGTTTGAGACATGTTCACTTGTGGCCAGTGTTTACAAGCCTGCCAGCCACCACGGTCCCATCCGAACATACAATCGGAACATTTCATATTATCACAGCGTTTTTAGTGATTGCACCTGCAAAATAAGTCACCATGGGCCCCAAGAAAGCTTCTAGTGCCAACCCTACAGCAAAAAGGGTGAGAATTACTATGGATATGAAGAAAGAGATCATTGCTAAGTATGAAATTGGAGCGCGTGTCTCCGAGCTGGCCAGGTTGTACACAAAACCCAATCAACTATCGCTACTATTGTGGCCAGGAAAACGGCAATCAAGGAAGCTGTTCTTGCCAAAGGTGCAACTATGTTTTCGAAACTGAGATCACAAGTGATAGAAGATGTTGAGAGACTGTTATTGGTGTGGATAAACGAAAAACAGATAGTAGGAGATAGCATCTCTCAAGCGATCATAAGTGAAAAGGCTAGGAAATTGCATGACGATTTAATTAGAAAAATGCCTGCAACTAGTGGTGATGTGAGTGAACTTAAGGCCAGCAAAGGTTGGTTTGAGAGATTTAAGAATCATAGTGGCATACATAGTGTGATAAGGCATGGTGAGGCTGCCAGTTCAGTCCAAAAAGCAGCTGAAAAATATGTGCAGGAATTCAAGGAGTACATAGACAGTGAAGAATTGAAACCTGAACAAGTGTTTAATTGTGACACTGACAATGTTGTGAAACACTTTAGGAATGTCATAAAAGAACGGGAGGTACAGGCCTCTATGGACAAATATGTTGTGCGACAGAGGTCCAGTGACTCTCAGGCTTGTCCTAGTGGCATTAAAAGAGGTGTCAAGTTCTTTTCTGGGGTTACTTCCCCCGGAAAAGAACTTGACACCTCAAGTCCTAATGGAAGGGGATTTCCCTTCTAAACACTAACACCATCCACACACTCCCCTCCTCCCATCCCATCAATCATCACCAGATCTTCAATAAAGGTAAGTGTCATGTAATTGTACATGTCTTCTTCAGTTTGTATGTATTAAAATTAATATTTCATGTGGTAAATTTTTTTTTTCAATACTTTTGGGTGTCTTGCATGGATTAATTTGATTCCCATTATTTCTTATGGGGAAAATTAACTCAACTAATGATAATTTTGATTAACGATGAGCTCTCAGGAACGGATTAATATCATTGGTCGAGGGTCCACTGTATAGCCTCAGTGGTAGTATAGTAGTAGTAGTAGTGGTGGTAATAAAAGTTGTAATAGTAGTAGTAATACAATATGGTAGAACAATCAACTTGCACATGAGTAAAAGGTTATAAAAGCTATTACTTGGGTAACATAAGAATAGGTTAGACAACTATTTCTGTTGGTGGTTGGATCTGAGAAGGTCTGTTTCGGAGTTCCTTCTCTGTTGTGTTCTTGTGTAGCAGAGACTATGTGATGGCAGGGTTTACTGTTTTGAGGAGGATTTTTGCTAATACTTCAGAGATGATGAAGCTGCCTTTAATTTGCTTGATTCTGTTAGAAACAGCTATTAATGATGATTCAAGGCATTTACGTCTGCGGAGATTTCTCTCTGATTACTAATCGGGCATCGTTGAATTTCATGAGGCGATTGGTGAAATTCCGGTGTTGTACACAGGTGTTGTTAAAGTTATCATTCCTACATGTGTTAATGTGTTCATTGAGGTGTGTTTCGAGGTTCCTAGCTGTTTCTCCTACATATATCTTGCCATAGCCTCCACAAGGTATAGTGTAAACTCCTGCATTGACTGGTTCATGGTAGTTCAATTTTGTCCTGGTTAGATCCCTTATGGAAGTGCTGGATGCAATGGCAACTCTAGTGTTAATTTGTGCTGTTGGGAAGGATTATAAATTTGTTAGGAGTAGTGTTGGTGCGTGGAGAATTTATGATCTGAAGAGCTCTTTTCTTGCAGTCTTTGATAAAAAAGGAAAGAAAATGTAAATCAGTGAAGGTCTCGTGTATGTAAGTACATTCCTCGTCAAGAAACTCTAAGACTACAAATTCGGTATGCTCTTAGGAAAAATCCGATGATAATGCCTCTTTTGGTTTTAGTATCTTGACTGGAACAGAAGTGGGTGAGATCATTTTTGTTTTAAGGTTTGTGGTAAACTTGAAATCTTAGATTGTTATCAACTTTGTGAATGAGGATGTCTAGAAAAAGTAGCTTGTCATTGGATTCTTCTTCTAGAGTAAACTGGATGGCCGGTTCAACTGCATTGAGCCTTGCCTGAAGATTATGTACATCAAAATGTTCAGAAGTTATTATGAGGACGTTGTCCACATAACGTAACCAAGTGACGCTGGAGGGGATGATGTTGGCGAAGTGTTCAGCTTCATGGTGTTCCATATATAAGCTGGCTAAGACGACACTGATAGGGGACCCCATTACCATTCCATAGGTTTGTTTGTAGAGCCTGTTATTGAAAGAGACCTTCTCAGATCCAACCATCAACAGAAATATTTGTCTAACCTATTTTTATGTTGCCTAAGTAATAGCTTTTATAACCTTTTACTCATGTACAAGTTGATTGTTCTACCATATTGTATTACTACTACTATTACAACTTATATTATCACTACTGCTACTACCACTAGTATTACACCTCACTCTGAGCCTATATATACCCTCTGTGTACATGTACTGTTTGTAACGGCTTGATAAAGCTCCTGGAGAGTGAAACATTGCCACAATAAAATGTCACATTAGTTGCACTTGTGTCCTTTTACTTTACATAATTTTCATAGATTTTAATCCAACAGAAATATTGCCTATGAATAAGGCAATCCTCATCTCCTTTTTTTGTCTAAAAATGTTTTGTGACCAGTAATTAAATGTATTAGATATTGTACTGTTATTTATAATTTATTATATTTGTACTTACTGAGCTAACAACAATTTAGTATATGTACTGTATTTCAGTTATGGCAAAGCAACTGTCAAGGGATATTACCAGAAGATTGCCCAGGCCTTTGTTAAATTACGTTCATCGAGCTCTTCTCATGGCAACTATGATCCAGTAATCCTTTTTGATGGTGCCAATGGTGTAGGGGCACTGGCAATGACTGAGTTTCTGAACCACTTGCAAGACTCTCTCAGAGTTACTATCTTCAACAAAGGAGAAGGAGTACTTAATCATATGTGTGGAGCTGATTATGTGAAGGTGCATCACACATCTGTTTAATTGATAAAAATCTCATAACTTCATTCAAAATAAAAATTTTGTATAATCTGCTTTAATGTTTTGTTGAAAAGTTTATCAGCTGTTCTTAATACAGTAATAATATATTATTTATGCAGGTACAGCAAAAATGGCCTGAAGGTGTACCAAAGACTCAGAATGTGAGGTGTGTATCAATTGATGGTGATGGAGATCGTGTTATCTACAGTGTCCTTGATAGTGAAGGAAGATTCCACATGCTTGATGGTGACAAGATTGCCACTTTGGTTGCAGATTATCTGCAGGAGCTTGTCAAAAGCTCAGGTGAGTAAGTGTAAATACATATTCAGTATAATGAAATATAACATACATATAGCATGTTTAGGTATTTTTGATCTTTGGTAGGTAAGACACATAGGCAACAGTTAGGCAACTTTATTCCGAAACATTTTGCCTACACAGTAGGCTTCTTCAGTCGAATACAGAAAGTATACCATTTTGATGTTCATTTTTGATCTTTAAATTCTGTAAATCATAAAGGTTTAGCTTTTGAATGGAACACACAAATTATGTATCTTGTAAATGATACTTATAGTTTACACTGTCCTTACTTTTATTTCCAATAGCCACATTTGCACTGCATCCTACTTCAGTCTGTAGGCATTTTTTTGTTTTTTTTTGTGTTGAGCATTCATTACAGATATTTGAAGTACAGTACATGAGAGGCTTGTAGATATTCAGTAAGAAAGAAGCAACACAGTGAGGAGGGAAGGGATTCTTTATTCCTCTGTAATCTTTGTCACTCTTGACTATAGTGGTGGCTTGATGATCAGGAAATGAAATTCTTTGGTTTCTGAAGGTTGGTGTCAATGTAAATAAATTATTTTGTGAAGTAATGCTTGAAACAGTGAACTTTTTTTTAATCACTTTGTCTTAAGTTCTCTGATCCAGGAGTCTTTGAATCTCACTTTGAGCTCAGTTTTATCTTGATATACTATGCTATACCCCAATAAAAACTACTATAATTTTCATAATTGCAGAGGTAAACAAACAGACTGATGTGTATGGACACAATATTTTTTTTTTTTGTATTGTTGTATTTTATGTATTAACCAGAAAAATTGCCTTGTGCATTACATGTACAAGATGGGTTTAATTTATGCATTATAAACTCTAAATGCTATTTTTTCAAAAAACAATAGAATTTCATAATAATCTAAAAATTATATCCACAGGGCTAAAGCTTAAACTTGGGCTAGTACAGACTGCTTATGCTAATGGAGCCTCCACTGCCTATATAACTAAGCAGCTGGGAATACCAGTGGCTTGTGCAAGAACTGGAGTGAAACATTTACATCGAATGGCTCAGCAATTTGACATTGGAGTATACTTTGAAGCTAATGGCCATGGAACTGTGATATTCTCTACAGTTGCAAGAGAGGCTATTCAAGCAGCAGCAAAAGGTATGGTATTTTTCATTATAATTTTGCCTATGTATTTTTTGTAGGTAGTAGGTTGGTAGACAGCAACCACCCAGGGAGGTACTACTATCCTGCCAAGTGAGTGTCAAACGAGAGCTTGTAATTGTTTTACATGATGGTAGGATTGCTGGTGTCTTTTGTCTGTCTCATAAATATGCAAGATTTCAGGTATGTCTTGTTACTTCTACTTGCACTTAGGTCACACTACACATACATGTACAAGCATATATATACACACCCCTTTGGGTTTTCTTCTATTTTCTTTCTAGTTCTTGTTCTTGTTTATTTCCTCTTATCTCCATGGGGAAGTAGAACAGAATTCTTCCTCTGTAAGCCATGCGTGTTATAAGAAGCAACTTAAATGCCAGGAGCAAGGGGCTAGTAATCCCTTCTGTACAAATTACTAAATTTAAAAATAAAAACTTTCGTTTTTATTTTTGGGCCACCCTGCCTTGGTGGGATACGGCCGGTTTGTTGAAAAAAAAAAAAAATTATTTTTTATTTATTATTATTTCGACATACATGGTTGTACAAAGAAAACAGTGGTTGAGTGTACATGCCAAAAGCCCCTTGTATGCAGAGCATTATGGGCAGGCTTAAAATTAACTTAAGATTAACTAAGCAATGATATATTCAATGGTAAAAATTACAGTAAACAAATTACAACATGAAGTACAAATGAGAATTTCAGATAAGAAGCTTTGTAGTTGTACAAATTTGTAGCCTAATAATTTATAATATAATAGTTCTTGTTCTTATTACTTTTTCCTTTATATCCACGGGGAAGCGGAATAAGAATCTTTCCTCCGTAAGTCATGCGTGTTGTAAAAGTCGACTAAAATGCCGGGAACAATGGGCTAGTAACCCCTTTTCCTGTACAGATTACTAAAAAGGAGAAGAAGAAAATTGTCAAGGTGGGATGTCTGAATGTGTGAGGATGATGTGCGAATGATAAGAAAGAGATGATTCTGGATGCTGTGAATGAGAAGCTGGATGTCCTGGCTTTAAGCAAAACAAAGCTGAAGGGGGTAGGAGAGTTTCAGTGGAGAGAAGTACATGGGATTAGGTCAGGGGTTTCAAATATAGCTAAAGAAGGAGTAGCAATAATGTTGAAGGATAAGCTGTGGCAGGAAAAGAGGGAGTATAAATGTATAAATTCAAGGATTATGTGGAGTAAAATAAAGGTTGGATGTGAAAAGTGGGTTATAGTAAGCATATATGCACCTGGAGAAGAGAGAAGTGTAGAGGAGAGAGTGACGTTTTGGGAATTGTTGAGTGAGTATGTGGGGAGTTTTGAACCAAGTATGAGATTACTTGTTGTTGGGGATTTCAATGCTAAAGTGGGTAAAAATGTTGTGGAGGGAGTAGTAGGTAAATTTGGGGTGCCTGGGGTAAATGAAAATGGGAAGCCTTTAATTGAGCTATGTGTAGAAAGAGGTTTGGTAATAAGTAATATATATTTTATGAAAAAGAGGATAAATAAATATACAAGGTATGATATAGCACATAATGAAAGTAGTATGTTAGATCATATATTGGTGGATAAATTGTTGATGGGTAGGCTTCAGGATGTACATGTTTATAGAGGGGCAACTGATATATCGGATCATTATTTAGTTGTAGCTACAGTTAGAGTAAGAGGTTGACGGGACAAAAGGAAAATGGCAACAACAGGTAAGAGAGAGGTGAAAGTGTATAAACTAAGGGAGGAAGAAGTTCAGGTGAGATATAAGCAATTATTGACAGAAAGGTGGGCTAGTGCAAGTATGAGTAGTGGGGAGGGGGTTGAAGAGGGCTGGAATAGTTTTAATAATGCAGTATTAGAATGTGGGGCAGAAGTTTGCAGCTATAAAAGGGTGGGTGCAGGAGGAAAGAGAAGTGATTGGTGTAATAATGAAGTAAAGGGTGTGATAAAAGAGAAAAAGGTAGCTTATGAGAGGTTTTTACAAAGCAGAAGTGTTCTAAGAAGAGCAGAGTATATGGAGAGTAAAAGAAAGGTGAAGAGAGTGGTGAGAGAGTGTAAAAGCCGAGCAGATGATATTGGGAGAGGCACTGTCAAGAAATTTTGATGAAAATGAGAAAAAAAATTTGGAGTTAAACAAGTTAAGAAAGCTTAGGGAACGAATAGATTTGTCAGTTAAAAACAGAGTAGGGGAGTTAGTAGATGGGGAGATGGAGGTATTGGGTAGATGGTGGGAATATTTTGAGGAACTTTTAAATGGCAGTGAAGAAAGGGAGGCAGTAATTTCATGCACTGGCCAGGGAGGTATACCATCTTTTAGGAGTGAAGAAGAGCAGGATGTGAGTGTGGGGGAGGTGCGTGAGGCATTGCATAGAATGAAAGGGGGGTAAAGCAGCTGGAACTGATGGGACCATGACAGAAATGTTAAAAGCAGGGGAGGATGTAGTATTGGAGTGGTTAGTATTTTTGTTTAATAAATGTATGAAAGAGGGGAAGGTAACTAGAGATTGGCAGAGAGCATGTATAATTCCTTTATATAAAGGGAAGGGGGACAAAAGAGATTGTAAAAATTATAGAGGAATAAGTTTACTGAGTTCCAGGTAGTAGGTTGGTAGACAGCAGCTGCCCAGGGAGGTACTACTGTCCTGCCAAGTGAGTGCAAAATGAAAGCCTGTAATTGTTTTACATGATGGTAGGATTACTGGTGTCATTTTTTCTGTCTCATAAACATGCAAGATCAGGTACGTCTTGCTACTTCTACTCGCACTTAGGTCACACTACACATACATATACAAGCATATATATACACACCCCTCTGGGTTTTCTCCTATTTTCTTTCTAATTCTTGTTCTTGTTTATTTCCTCTTATCTCCATGGGGAAATGGAACAGAATTCATCCTCCATAAGCCATGCATGTTGTAAGAGGCGACTAAAATGCCGGGGGCAAGAGGCGACTAAAATGCCGGGGGCAAGAGGCTAGTAACCCCTTCTCTTGTATAAATTACTAAATTTAAAAAGAGAAACTTTCGTTTTTTTTTTTTTTGGGGGGGGGGGCCACCCTGCCTTGGTGGGATACGGCCGGTTTGTTGAAAAAAAAAAGTTTACCGAGTATACCTGGAAAAGTGTATGGTGGGGTTGTTATTGAAAGAATTAGAGGCAAAACAGAATGTAGGATTGCGGATGAGCAAAGAGGTTTTAGAGTGTGTAGAGGATGTGTAGATCAAGTGTTTACATTGAAGCATATATGTGAACAGTATTTAGATAAAGGTTGGGAAGTTTTCATTGCATTTATGGATTTAGAAAAGGCATATGATAGAGTGGATAGGAGAGCAATGTGGCAGATGTTCCAAGTACAGTAAGACCCCACTTACACAGCGGGTTAGGTTCCAGGCTACCGCTGTAAAGTGGAAATCGCCATGAAGAGGAACACCATTTTTTTCCCCTTATAAATGCATACAAATACTAAATAACAAGTTTACACTAACATATATTAAGTTAGCAATAGAACTAGGCATCAAAAAACAATAAAAAAGTAAAATACACACATAGTGCACTCATTACTTACCATAAAATATTTGTAGTCTTAATCTAGGGTGAGACAAGTAGTATTTATTGTAAGAAATCAAGTGTGGTATGTATGGTAGTCAGCCAGGGCACCATACCAGGCCACCCCACCTACGCATAATATTCTATTACATTTAAGCATTCCAGAGCGATAAAATGTATATACAGTTCACTCATTACTTACCTTAAAATATTTGTAGTCTTAATCTAGGGTGAGATGAGTAGTATTTATTGTAAGAAATCAAGTGTGGTATGTATGGTAGTCAGCCGGGCTACCATACCAGGCCACCCCACCCACACATACTATTCTATGATATTTAAGCATCCCAGAGCGATAAAATGCATATACAGGTCACTCATTACTTACCTTAAAATATTTGTAGTCTTAATGTAGGGTCAGAGGTGAGTAAACGAGATAAAACTAATAAATGAGAGAGAGAGAGAGAGAGAGAGAGAGAGAGAGTGAGTACATGAGGGAGGACAGGTGTAGAGTTATGTAAACAAACCAGGCAAACATAAGTTTTGTAAACAAACAAAGTGTACACGTCTGCTTTGTGTACAAGTTGTCTGTACATTGATACAGTAGAATAAATAAAGAACACTCTCATTCTCATGTAACACCATTTTTAGAAGAAATGACGCTCTGAGTGAAGGCAATGGAAATAAGTCACTCTGTCTAACTTTTTTGGGTTATCCTAGGTTCTCTACACATATGCTGTTATGTATGATAATCTATGTAACTGTATTTGTGTATACCTGAATAAACTTACCAGAGGCATCGCTAGAGTTGGTGTCACCCGGGGCAGCATCTTTGGTGTCACCCCCATAAAATTCAAGGGTGGGGGGAGGGGAGGGTTCAACTCCAGTTACGTCACTACTGCATGACCAGTGACAAAGTTTAGCAGCGAGAACGTTTAAGGGCCATAAACTGAAAAGGAGAATACTTCTCAACTTTATTAATGATAAAATAAATAATCATAGTAATAAAACATAAACTCAAGTACTACTTTGAGTATAGACCAACAGATCCTACATTTATTTATCTTCAACAATGAAAAAAAAACAAAAAAAAAAACTTGAAAAATAAAGAAAAACATTGCAATATCAGAGAAACACTAGTTCCGATATGACCTTGAGTACAGGTAACATCTCAGTGTATCTGATCTTACATTTCCTTGCCTTCAATCCTGCAAAATCACCTATCTCATCATCAAAATCGATGATTTTCCCTATATAGACTTATTTGTATTTTGTAAATATATAATAGGCTATATAGAAACGAAGGTTTCTTCTCTTATATTGGTGCAGCACTGTTTTGGGCATTAGTGTCACCTTTTTTAGAGGCTCTATGGTGTCACCCCCTAAATGGTGTCACCTGGGGTGCCCCCCCCACCCCCCTTATGACTCCTCTGAAACTTACATACATACAAAAGGAATAATTTTCTACAGTTACCCC